TTTACATAAATATGCCACAAATCATAGAGCTCGCCGCTGGCCCCAGCAACTTGTGGTCCATGTGACAGTGTCTCTGGTTATTATGAATGCATAAAAAGCGTTCATGAGTTCATTTTTTCCAACCACACTTTCATTGCAATTAAAATACCAAAAAGGATAAAACAAAAAAGCAAACTGCTAAAAATATATACCTAGACCATAAAAAATACCAAGGAAAATTTATGTGCAGCACATGCCACGCCTGAAACTAAAGGGTTTTCCCTTAAATTCTGCTTAATTTTTTTTTGTTTTTGCGAATTTTTGCGGTGTGAAACGCACGTTGCATAATAATAAAAGTTGGGATGGAGTGGAAGTTGTGGGAGCGGCACTTGAATGCTCTGGGTTTTCGCCCCCACCAACGTTGTAAACGGCTGCAATTGTTTGTCATTAGCAAATGTTGCCCTTTTTGGGAACTTTACGAGTACATTCCCACACCAAAAATGCTCTTGTTGTAGGCCTGTTGTCCTACAGCAGACAAAATTTGTGACTGCGACAGTTTGTCCACCCACCCACCGAAAATTCAACACCCTCCAAATCGAGGGACTCCTCTCATTTTTAACGCATCATTTGACCATTTTATGTAGGTGCAACATTGCAGCACAAAACACGACTAAACATAATCTCAGGCTGTTGCCTAAACAAATGGGGACTCAAATGAATAAGACCGCAAAATCACAAAATTACCACTGGTATGAGTTAAATTTTAAGATTAGAGACTGAGCTGAAAGCTATTATTTTTACAGTTAAAAAAGAATTAAGTATTCAAACAAGAGAACAAAAAAAAAACTGTATTTCATATTTATATTTTATTTTACTTCTCAACGACAAAAAATGTGGTTGGTAATAATAAGATGAGAAAATAAACTATCAAACTATATTATGTGTTTTACAAATCAAAAAAAACTTATAAAAGCAAACTAAAGCTTAAAACATAAAATATAATTAAATAAGAAAGCTTAAACATATATAATTTAACTATTTTGGGTAATTAGACTTAAAATAATTAAATTAAAAAAAAACGACATGAGAAATGAGGTTGGTGCAAATAATTTATAGGTTTTTGTTACTTATTTTCAATAATTATATATTGTGTTCAATAAAATTACTGACATTATAGGATATTATAGTAAAAACCAAAAGTCCACCCAAAAAAAATCACTTTAGCTAACTTTTCCGCTTAATGCAATTTCATTAAAAGTAAGTTTAACTTCTCACTTTGAACAAATTGTGAACTCACATCAAATTAAATCAGCAGTTCCGAAATAAAACCAAGCCCCTTTTTCCCAACCCCTTGACACAAGCAGCTTTTTATTTGACAAAATAACGAACTCTGTTAATGAGCATATCCAACAAACTGTATTTTTTTTCGCCAGTTGGCACCAAATTAATTTTAGCTGTCTGAAGGGTAAATACTTAATGCACCAGAGGCGACAAAATAAAAGGTAGATGGTTTTCAATCTATCTATCCAACAGGACTGTCTATAATGTGCGGCACGCGTTTAATTTGTGTATTTTTTTGCTCTCTACGCTGTGCTAAACGGTTGATATAATGAAAATGTAAATTACAGAGAGGTTATGGGACTCATTTCGCAGCTCCAATACGGGACACGAATGGAGATGGAACTTGACTTTATGAGCACATAAAGTTCGCCTGTTGCCACATGAGACTTCGGTCTCATCTCATTAGAGAAACTTTTTGCCGGCATCCAACTAAACGTAAATTGATTTCAATCCAAATTGCATAGGCCTAAAGTACAGCTGAGCTTTGTGGAATGCCATGAGTTTGGGAAAACGAAATGGGATACCTACAATGAATTAGACTATAAAATACCCTAAGCTGAGATTAAATAAAAAAACTTTAAGGGAAACACTTCTAAGTAAAAATCCTTTTTAATTTGTTTTTACATTGGAAAGCATTTTGTAGTCATTAAAAAATAAAAAGTCAATGCTTCCTAATTTTATTTTTTTCCTATGCACTAAATACACACACAAACATAAGATAATATAAAATGTAGTTTTCCATCGTATAAGTATTTTAATATTAATGTATTTTTTATAAATGTTTGTATAAAATTTTTTAATCATTATTAATCGAGCTTTGCAAATTGATTATCTGAAACCATAACTTTTGTTCAACCCAACTACACACACCCTTGAATAAAAGAAATGAGACCGAAAAAATATAAGGCGAGTATTTTTGGCAGCGATTATTTGTCGTTTGCTTATCAACGCACTTCCGCATCATTAAATAATTTTATCATTTGCATTATTTTCACTTTCCTAAGCACAGTTAATAACGATGGCAATAAGGATGATGATGAAGCTGGTTGGTGGTAGAAGGTTTCAAAGTTCCTTCGAAAAGTGATAAGGATTGGGGGTTGGTCACAGGCTGGTTTAACTAATTTGTAATTTATGCGACACTTCTGCGGTTAAGTTGTGGAAAAAGTTGATGAGAAATATTTTTTTTAATTAACTCTGGCAAAATGCTAAACAATTGGTATTTTTCCAATTGGGAAAGTTTTTTGTTTCCCGCAGGAAACTTAAGATATTTAATTTAAGCGGTGGCTCACAGTTAAGTACAGTTCTTAAGTCTTTTTAAAAGATTCCAATCTAAGGCATACTTATACATTTGACAAAAGAAGCAGCAGGCTTGAGTTCACTTCACTTGCATTACAAACACATTAAAGTTGCCCAGGGAACATGGAAAAAAAAGAAAATTATTTTACAGGCACGGCGGTATGGAAATGCAAATGCCAAAAGACATGAGAAGAGCATGGGACAAACGATAATGAGGACAAACAGCAGAAGCAGCAACAACTGCCACTTGCAGCTACAATGATAATGTTGCTGGCTGTTGATGACAACAACATCTAGCAACAGCAACAACTGCTAGCAACAACTAGTAAAAGCACATACACTGGCTAAAAAATATTTCACAAAATCGTTGGGAAAAGTGTAATCTGTCCTCCAGTAATACAGAAAATATAAAAAAAAATGTTTACATATTTTTTAAATATGTAAAAATGTATGTATGTATTTAAATATGTAAAAACTACGAACTACGTTTATATACAATTAAATTAAAGTAAATTTGTTTTTATTTCATTTTAATATAATTATCACTCGAAAAATAATTTTTTTTAGTAAAAGAAATTCATATAACTTGTATTTTTAGACACTCATACACCTGTATATAAAATAAATTACAACAATGACAAATGTGATTGATAAACAATAAAGGAAATTCAATTTAGAATATCTGTTACTTATTTTCAATAATTAATAAATAGCTACTGCCATAAAAAAGTGGCTGTTTTAGCGGATTAGCAAATAAAATATTTTTTAAATTAATTTTTACGACATTTCAAAATAATTATTAGTGTGGTTGCAACCACTACTAACAAACAAACTACCAACGGAAATCAGCCAAAGAATGCGCGCCCCAGTGAAGCATTTTTCCTCCATCTTTTTTCGCTTTTCCCCCCTTTAAGTCCTTGGGAAAAAACGAAATCTAAACGCTGTCTGTGCCTGCCACTCCCCCTTCTCTTTCTTTCCTAAAAAGGATATGCCTGCCGCTGCTCATTTTCGCTACTAAATAAGACAGGCGGCCGCGTCCTCGAACAACATTTTGACATTTTTTTTTTGTGATTTGCCTCACAAATTTTTGCATTTTCGTGCCATAACGCGAGGTCTCAAGAGGAAAAGAAAATGGAAAGAAATGCATAAAACGAACTGCAAGCAACCCTTTACTAAGAACCTTTTTTTTTGACAATTTATGGAGGCAACCTATTTAACAATCATTTTTATCAGATGATTTTCTTATGAAAATTATAACATTATCGATCTGCTAAAATGTATTTAATATTTTGCTGAATTTAAAGTTGAAAACTATATATTTATTTTATTTTATTTTTTATTAATTTTCCTAAGCCAAAAACGTATTACTTTTTAGACAATTAATCAAAAAATTCGTAAAACCCCTGGGTATCCAACTAAGTATACTTTAATTTTTAATATTTGCCAGCTGCTCAGCAAACTTAAAAGCCTCTCGTCTATTAAAATAGAAAACAATCTGCGAAATGGCTTTTCTGTAAAAATATTTTTTTTTGCATGCTCGATTTAGCAGACGAGAAGCGAAAGAATTCGTAGTCAAGTGAAAATGTCAGCCACTCAAAATGCGAGCGCCATTTCGCATGTATAATAAATCTAACTAAACCAAACAAACACGAAATGAAGAAAAGAGCAAGAAAGAAGCTAAGCTGAGTTCATTTTAGGTTTAACGATTTGGAAATAACTCCACAAAACAGGACGACAAATTATTTGGCCATCATCTGCAGAAGTTTCGCATGGCATTGGCAGATTGGCGAGGGTCTGAAAACTTATTAATTTCCAAAAAGTCAGCCACACGCAAAAAGTACACAACCAAAAATTGTGAAAAACTGTGACGTTATGCACATGAGTGAGCAAATAACAGCAGCAGCAACAGCCACATCAACAACTCGCAGCAGCAACACTAAAAACCTAACAGCAACAGCAGCAACCGAAATGCATAGCATACTTCGCCGGGCATTATTTGAGTTTTTGGGAGGGCGATTGGGTGGCTATGAGATGGAATTAAATGGGTCGGGGGATGGAAGGTGGGAGCAAAGCCAACAAATTATGAGTAATTGTTGTGATGCCAGCGCATTTTAAGTGGGAAATATATATACGAACTATAAGTAAAGGCGAAGAACGGATGAGCAATCATTTTAATACAATTATTATAGATATATAGTATATAGACAATAACACTTAATATTACAGCTAATGACTTCCAATTCATGCCTTACTAATGTAAAATTTTTCAACGACATATTCACCTATAATCTATTAATTTTAAAATACTTTTCAAAAAAAAACTATCTGAAAAATGTATCACCCCACAAATAAAAACAAATGTATTTATAGATCCTTTTTGATTAAGAGATACGGCTCACGGCGTTTAATGTCTTACTATTTAAAAATATCTCAGTGACAGCGTTTCAGTTAATCTTTTGATTTTAAAATATTTTTAAAACTATCGTTCCAGCAAATGCCTGTACTCGTTGAGAATTTGCTCTTCCTGCACCAACGGCAGATCCAAGTAGTTGGAACTATTGTCAGAGAGGTTTTCATTGAATCTCTTGAAGGCATTGTACGATTCCATTTCCGATTTGGCCATACCAATAGCCGATTCGATAAAGTTCAACTTGCTGACGGATAAGTTTAAGAAAGGGGTAGAGCTATTGCTAGTAGCTCTATTTGAGCCCGATGGACGATGATCTTCCAGTAACTTTGTCATGGCTTCAACAACTGCCAATAACTCCGATTCGTTGACAAAACTTTTCAATAGAAATTCCACTGATTTTCGGAAATTATTTTCGGTTGTTTCTAAGGCAGCTCGAGCGGAAGGGGCCTGAAAGCCCAGTTGTAGTAGTGTGGATAATAACGATTCATCGATGGGCGGTACGGCTGGCAGATTGGCCCTAAGTTCATCTGAATGGCGCTGCAGTAGGTCAACACTTCGTTCTAGATTATTTTTGGTCCTCTTGAGAGCTTCTACCACCAAACATCTTTCGTATCCCATTTCCATGAGCCTGAAAACACTACGGGGATCCACCCACTCTCTTCCTGAATTTGCCTCCCTCATCTCTTGATTTACTTTCCTTAAAGGAGCTGAGTTTCTGCGTTCTTCACCGACTTTCTCCCTGCGTTCTTGGATAAATTGTAAAGCTCTATCCACGTTGCCTGCACTGGATCTTAAGGCCAATCTGGCATCCGATTCCTCAAAACCCATTTCCACTAGAGTTAAAAGGGCATTGTCATCGACTTTTAATTCATCCAAGGCTTTGGCTGCCTCCTCCAATCTTTCATATGACTCATCTCTGCGATTTTGGTGAAAGAAGAGCACACCTTGGAGCAGGTGTAGCCTCATAATCAGAGCTCTTTCGGGGCAACTTGTACCCCTAATGGCATATAAACGATTAAACTGCTCTCCATAACTCTTGTGAAAACTTCTTTCGCAAATATCCAAACGTCGCTGGGCATCTGGTAATTGTGTGATATTCTTCAGACAAAGATAGCACCACACTATGTCCAGATTTAACAAAGCATAATTATCCACCGCTTCCAAAAACTTGGAGTTGCATTGGCTAAAAAGTTCATCGGCTTCGAGTAGCAAAAGTAAAGCCTCATCGTAGTTTTCTTTTCGCATGGCTGCCCTGGCTATTTCGTACATACCCAAGGCCATTAGCAAAGATCGGTTTTCATCGGGTGGCAGGAAAATCGGACGTCCATCTTGATCCTCCATTTTCATAAAGCGATGATCGGCATTTGCAACTATCTCCACATCCGCGCGAATCCTTTGAATGCGTTCATGCAACTCCTGTCCCTTGTTTTCTCCGCCCACCACCACCATTAATTGTTGATTGGTTTTCAGACCCTGTGAGGCCAAAGTTCTCAGTCCATTGATAATGCGTCCACCGGAAATGCACTTTACATGACTGGCATCACTCAAATTCAGTTTCTTAGCCACCTCCTTTTGCAGATCTGAGCCAAGGCCGCTCAATGAACACTTTATTTCCATCATTTGCCAAGTTCCGCATTTGCTGTCCACACAACGCACATTGAAAGTGGCCAAACCCGTGTCATTAAACTCCCTGCGAGCAGCCAATTTCCTCAGCGCACTATCTTGCAATTCGGCCAGAGCACACCTGCAATCGGATGTGCTAATGCCCAGTTCTCCACTCAAATCCCTCGCCAGATGATCCATCTCCGATTCGATACTGCCCACGCCATCGAAATAGTACGGCTCCTCCCACAACTTGATATCACGCTCCCGCAAACGAGCTCGCAATTTGATAAATGTATTGTCTATTTGGGACATGATCTGATCAGTACTGAATAATTTTCAAATTATTACGGAAACTTCTGATATATGTTGCTTGACTTAAAATCAAAGGCCTCCTCTTTACAAAAGTACGTAATGTGTTTTTAAAATAATATAAAAAATACATGTTTACATAATAATGATGAATTATTATTTTTTTTTGTTGGCTTTGTTAATCTTCCATCTTTAAGATAAAGCGATAAAATAAATTAAGGTTTCTTGGTTTTTTTTTTAAAAGATGAAATTTACTCTTAAAAGTTTTATAAATTTTGCCTTAAATCAATGATGTCCTTATGTTCATGGGTATTTGAATTACTTTACAAACGTATTCAAATTGTTTTCTGTTTTTGGTTTATATTTTAAAAATTGAAAAGAACTGTTGTTTTGGGGTTACTGTGGTTTGTTGAGTCTAAAAGCTTGATGACTTCGTTAATTTTGATTTTTCAAGATAAAGCAATAAAATCATACAGACAATTAAAGTGAAATACAACTGTATTGGGAAACTAAACTTTTTGTAAAATTTTGTTATCTGCAACTAAAACTGAATTAGACAACATTTTAAAAGTATTATCAGGTACTGAATCAGATACAATTATCAGTGGTTAAAGAACACTTTTTAATGCTATCTATACGATTGCTTTTTAAGTACCACTAACTAAGCAAAAAACAACAAGTCTAAGAAGTTATCTTATCTTTCTCTTGGAACTCAATTTCATTTAATTAATATAAAAGTAAAAAAGCTGAGCCTGATCACAAATGTGAGAAACTATTATATAATTTGAATTCATAGTTTTAATACTCCTGTTACATTATGAATTTACATAGACTCAATGCAGACGTTGATATTGGGCAAAAAGGACTTAAAAGAGAAAGTGACCTTATTGGTGGCATTCACAAAGCAAGAGCTTGTATCTGCTGGCAATTTGGCGATCAGTTTCAGGGTCCTGTTGATTTTCCTGGTCAGTTTCATGGAAGCCTTGAACAAATTCCAAAAGCATTTGAATGAGTTTTTGATGACCGAGCCAGCGGACTTGTCCTTAGCGCACAGTTTTGACTGCAGGTGGATAATATCATTGCAGATTTGTATAATCTGCTTAACAGATTCCACAATCTTGGCCACATCCTTGGGAATTTCAGTGCCGCAGGCATCGATGGCATCCACAAAGTTGGTGCAGGAACTCAGAATGTTTACCACCTCCTTGATAATGCAATTGGTGCCACGGACTGTCTTCAAAGCTTTGCGAAGGATTTTTCTGCAAGTTCGAATAAAGCCCTGCTCGTCAAAATCCATGTAATCGTTGTCATTATCCAATTCGTCCAGCAGCTGTTCGAGCTCCAATTCAAAATCGAATTCATTGTCACTGTTTTCTTCACGCAATTCAATTGAATTGGCCTGAAACCAAAAGTATTTAATTATATGTGTTGATTAAATTGTAATGCCTAACTTACTTGAGTAGTTAGCAGACAAGTGGCCGAAACCAGCACCAAAAGGCAAAGAGTAATAGCTTTCATTTTACTGTCCAATTAGCGAGTGTTTGAGGCCCGCAATCGATGATCAGTTTATATACAGGCACCGAATTGCGCATTATCACAAAATAATCAATTTTTTAAGTGTCCACTCAATCTATCTTTGTCTATTAGACCAAATCTTTCTGTTTGTATTAGATTTATTGATACTTTCTTGCATAGAACATTTGAATCAAATTTACTTTTATCTGAAAAGCAAAATATTGTTTGCTTTCCTAACACCAATTTGATTAGCCATACTTACCTTTTATAGTTATAAACTATATAAATATGAATGTTCATTAAGGTAGCTTTGAATTTAATTAGAATAAGTTGGGCAAGTATAAAAAAATGTTGTGCTATTTACAATAATAACTCTTTTTTTTGTATTTTCTTAAAAGAAAAAATAACCTCTTAAAGATGGTCAAACTTAATAACTCACCATTAATATTATTGGCTTTACACTCTATAAGAAAGGTATTTGATTTGGATTTAACTAAAAAAATATGGCAAATTAAAAAAAATCTATGTATTATATATTTTTAAAAAGTGATTTTTTACCTTCCATAACTAAATTTGCTTCATCGATTTTTTCCCAAGACCCGAAATTTTTCCCAAAATATGTCGAATTTCCGCTTGTAATTAGCACGCCATGTAAAGTCTACCGTGAAATCCACTTGGGCACCCTAAAGAGTCAGAGCTCAGGACGAATTAAAAGCCGTAAACCACAGACAAAGAGGAAAAGAACCACAATCGAATGGTGGCAGAGCCAACAGATTCCGGACACAATAGATACGACAAAAGAAAAAAAATGTGTTGCCATTGTCAGCTTAACGCGCTCGGCTCACTTTGTCCTTTGGTTATAAATGGTAACGTGTGGTTAAGGGTTAATAACTCCCACTAAATGGGGTGGGGGTGGTGACGAAATAAAAGACCAAGACATTTTATAGATACAAAAGAAAAGAAAAAGTTGGCACCCCGTGACAACAAGTGTGGCTGCTAATGAAAAGCGCCGTGAATAACTGCCGTACTTTGGTTTGGGATGGCGAATGGATTGGTCTGCGTGTTCTGTCATTAAGTTAGCTTGGGGTCTTTCCTCTTCGATGGGGTGAACTATGTACGTCTCTCAGGGTGATAAACTAGCTGACTGAGTTGTTAGGGGTATCATTTCGCCCTAATTTTTGTTCCGTGATTGCTTTTTTGATTGGGAATGATATTGGCAAAGGATGGCTCTTAAAGTATAAATATTGGCACAGTCATGAAAATACATAACTAAAAGAATATTTGATCATTTTACTATTTTTGGCCTAAGCGGAAAATTTGTTTTGTTTTTTTACATCAACATTAGCCCGTTTTCAAGCATTTTATGATCTCCTTCCTTGCATTCAGCTCTCCATCTTTTGGCTTTCTCCATACCATCTGCACTTGGCATAAGTTAAATGTCGAGTAAATGTGGCTGACAACCATGATGATGCATCGCTGCCTGCATACGACACTTCTTAAGGTCCTTGTGCTGTCCTTCCTTGTCATTTTTGCCTTCGTCCTGGGCATGCAGCGTGTACGAAATCAATGACATGTTGTCGGCAAAGTTTTCTCGGCACTAAGTGAGTTTTATCCCTCCTCGGGCATTAGACTAATATGAACTGATTTACCCCCCGAAATGAGTTTTTCACCCAAAAGTTGACAAGTGACAAGTCACATTGTTGTACATTAAATTAATGAAATCATTCCGCAACTTTTACAGGTCATGGCCCGTACTTCATTGCTCTTCTTCGATTGCGGGAAACTTGAAGTGTCTGTCCGGATCTCCGGCTCATAAATATTGAGCGCATTATGTCAGGAGCAGCAAAAAGGGGGTTGAAGGATACGGAAGGATACGGGCCTGCAGTCAATTGTTGGTCATCAATCTTATAAACAAATGCGGTTCAATGCCAGTGACAGCGGTTTCAGCAAAGAGGGGTGGAATAAAATTAAAAAAGGGTGAGAAACACCGTTGCTGAAAAGCTGACAAAAGACCAAGAGCAGTTAAACATGACTGGGTGCATATGTAAGTTGAGCTGAACTAAGGCAACACCCTCATCTTTGATTTAATCTAAATTTTTTTTAAAGCCGACTTAATTTTTTTATTTTTTTAAATTTTTTATTATTTTGTTAAAAATAAACGTTTTATACATGGGTTTTAAACTTAAAACATTTTTTAAATATCTTATATGCAAATTGCTAGAAAAAATCTTTTAATATTGAATATCTTTTAATATTGAACCGTACCCTCAACCTCAGGGTTAACGAAAAGTAGGTTTTAAACTTTATATTTCCACATTATTTCTCAGTTTATAATCTACTTTTAGCTTACCATGAAGGCAAGAAAAGTAAATAAGGCTCTAAATCAAATTTTAAATGGTTCAGCTCGAAATCAAATTGAATTAGTGGAAACAACTTAAATAATATATTAGTAATACAATTCCAATTTACTTAGTCAGTGTTGCAAATTTATTTCTGTTTTGATTTATTTATAAATTTTAACTACGTCAGTTAGGAATGATGTTTCCTAAGTTTTTGTGGCCATATATAGCTCTGGTTTTTCTGGTCTTAATGACACACCATTTGGCATTTGCCAATCACATTGCCATTATTGGTAATTACCTGCCAACGGATACTCTTCTCCTTAGCCAGGATGTCTTTGTCAAAGGGAGAAAGAAGGGAAGAATAGCACACAAGTTTTATTATACACAAAAGGTTTCCTCCAGTCAGTTAATTTTCTATACAATTTTTAATTACGTTTTTGTTTAGACCGACCCGAAAGTGATCAGCGCCATTATACTAAAGAACTGCCATAAGTCTCCGTTTGGATCCGACGGAGTTCTCCTTGAAGGTGGGCCAAACAATATCTACACTGCCATTCGATTGTCGGCAAGAAAAAACTTCAATATCGACTACAACATTAAAATTTATAGCAATAATAGAGATCTTGAAAAACATGGAAGATAAAAAGAAGATATAAAATAAATTTAAAATAAAACTCTACATCATTTAAGCAAATTTGTCTTATAAAGTTAGCTGAGGGTTCTACAAAAAATGTTTTCTAAAGATTTTATATACTATTTTTTATATATTGAAGTTTTCCATTACCAAGTCTAATGAATTTAAAAACAAAAATATTTTAAGCGTAACCGTGACAAATCGTGTCTAAAATATTTATTATATATTTATATTTGTAACATTAGTTTACGTAGGATCTTCTCTTGTTCATTTTAAAAGCAGCTTCTGGAAGAACATGTTACATTTGGTGAAGGGTGTTGTTTTATCGATTGCCGTCGTGACAATTGCAAATAGGGTTTGCGCCAATGAAGGAGATACAATTTTTGGAGCAGTGCAAATAGGTGCCAAAATAATCCATGAAGAGCACATTGTGGAGCCTAAGAAGTTTCTGCGAGTGGTCACAAGAAAATTTATTCTTAACCCTCAGGTAAAAGTTAATTAATAGATTAGGCACTTATATAACCTAACTAAATAATAATTGTTGCTTTATCAACAGCCCCGACCAATCAGTGCAATTGTAATCTTTGACAACAGTCCAACTAAAGGTGGACATGCTTATTTGCTCGAGGGAGGGCCTCCCGCAAACTTTGCGGTGATCGAGTTCAAATCAAAACGTAACCAGGGACTTGACTTTACATTGACTATATACGACACTCCGTCATCTTGCACTAGATGTCTTACATTTGGGTAATAATATAGATCATTCAGTGATCAAAAATGCAATTTAATGCAAGCTAAAAATTAAATAAACTTATTCAGTAAAAATTATATTTTATTCCTCATTTTTACATTTTTTTCGGAGTTTATTTTATTTTATATATTTTAAAAATTTCAGCTTAACGTAATTTATCTTTGCGTAGATAACTAATTATGTGTTTATATTTTGCTCTTCGGAGTTTTGTAAATTTTTCGGCTTTTAAAAAAGATTTTTTGTTTCCTTCAAATTAAAATAAAGCGAACAAAGTTTTCCCCTTAACTCTAATAAATATTAGCTACAAAAAAAAGAGAATTTGTAAACAGAAATTATATTTTAATTTTTAGAAAAATATTCTTCATACTAAAATTTTTAAATTGAAATAAACTTAACGCAAATTTGCGAATAATATTAATGACACTTCAAAATATGACTAACATAAAAATAATTGAAGTATAAGAGTTAATTAACATATTTTTAGCTGTGTACTTGATTTCGTCGATTCAGTCCCCATCTTAACAAAAAAAAACAGTAGAAACTCCCAGACCAGGACGAGTCCAATGAAGGACAAACCCTCGTCTGGATTTGATGGCCATGGCGGCGACATATTACTTCCTTATTTGTGGGCCGTGCTCGCGACCTTTCACCTTTTTCCCGTCACGCTTCGGAAAGTGAAACATTAGGGCCAGAATCGCATTGTGTTCGAAGTGTGTGTGTGTGTTTCGCATTAAAACAATGACGAGGCGCAAACATTTTTAGCGCTGACAGCGAGCCAAACATCCGCCAGATAAAAATGTCCGCGAACAAGCACACAAATTTGATTCAATCAACGGCGGCGATGAGTCCTGTGTCCTGTGTGTCTGGTGTGTATCCCCCTTCCAACGAGTCCTGGCCATTTGCTTGTCGCCCTGCCAGGCTCGCCGCTGGGATGATAATGATAAGCGCATAAAACCATTAAGTGATTCCACTCAAATGAGCACGTTAGAATGACTGTGAAGCTTGTTTGGGCCGAATCGCTAGATTGTTGAACTATCATCACACTACAGTCAGAAAAAGGTAATAAGGGTAATTTGGAAAAATAAAATTATTCTGACTATTTACTAATTTTATAAAAGTATTATAAATACTATTTCTGCCAAATGAATGTTGGTAGAATAAATTCCAGTTTGATTTTTTCAGATAACTTTAGATAACTTTAATTGAAACTGTAAAAGGTTTATGCCGACCTTATCCTAATGTTCTTATTAAATCTGTTAAAAAGACTCTGTCTTTTAATTGAATTAATTTATTTTTCACTTAATCTAGAATTTATTTAAAATGTCCGTTATTTCTGCCTAAAATGTTAATCTTGTAAAAGGGTATATTTATGTTTATTAAAGGTATATTATGTGTATTAAGTCTAGTGAAAATTAAATTAAATAAATAAATTATCAACATTTTCTATCTATGATTTCTGCTAAGTAAATCTGAGCTCACTTCAGTTCCATCGACTAATTGAATCGTTCACAGGGGCAAAATCCTCGCTCTGATCCAACGGAAAGTGAATCTATCAAAAAAAGAAACAAAAGGAACCTTTTTTGCACTCCTAGCGTAAAAACACAACATGGGAGGTCGAAAAAGGTGGGGTGTTTGCCTGCAACAGTAACGATGACAGCGATGTCCTTAAACCCCCGGCAAAGGGAATACGGCTTGCAAAGATAAGGGGGCCGATAAGGGGATGGGGATGGGCCAGGTGGGCGGATCCAGGATCCTCGATTCAGGAAAAGGACGCCCCGTTCATGTTAAATGGCCAACAAGGTGACAATGCAGATATAATAAGCAGGCGGCATAAAGCGACAAACGTGATTCGACCAGCGAGGACCATTATGTCGATGATTCGCAGGACGTTTCGCGATTGATAATGCTCACTTACTGGTATTCGAAATGACGCACACACAGACGACGGCTATGGGCGGTAAAAAATCGCTTATCGGTTGACTTAACGCACTATATAACAGACAGATGTCAGTAGATTGCTCAACGATGTTCTTTAATGCGAATCAATGACAAATGGAGAATTTTAATAATGTGAATGTGCATTATCCTCTAAAGAAGGATACCAGGCTAAACAATTTAAATAAAACAAATATTGATTGCGTTTTATTAAATAATTTGAACATAGTGATTTTAGTTTAATTTCACAAAGTAAAATATTATTGACAAATATTAATTTAATTTTAGAATTCAGTTAATGCGAATCAATGACAAATTAATCATGTTAATAAAGTGATTTAAGTAATTTAAATAAAACAAAAGTTTACTTTATTACGTTAACAATGTTTAATTAGTTGTAGTTTATTAAGTAAAATAAGTTTGAGATGTATGGAATCATAAAAAATTGGCAAACCTTCTTAATACTTTAATGTTTAAAATGGAATTTAGAACTAAAACTATCAAATTTACTTTACCTAGGAGGGAAATGTTATCTAATTCTTTAAAAAAAAAAACAATTTTATATGTTACTTTTTGTTCTCCGTTGTATCCAGAGTCATAAGTTCAAAAGCCACCCACATCGCCAAGCGAAACTTTGTGCCGCTGACATTAGTTAATTGTCAGCCGCTTCAGTTTGCAAACATGCATTTGGCCAAAAGCCAACATGGCCAACAAAAAATAAAAAAAATGCCAGCCGCAACGGAAAAAATAGAGAAATGGTAACAATTTAATTAAGTTCTTGGTACGTAATTTGCGCCAACACTTAAAGTTGTTCCCTTGACTTGTTTTCGGTGGCTTTTTTTTTTGCTTTTTTGCTATAGTTTTATGGTGTTGCACCTTCGGGGTTTTGCCACCAACGGCAAAAGTCTACTGCTAATTACGCAAATGTTTCAACTTTAAAACGGCGATGCCATTTCACGCGCCCTGCGTGTGAAATTTATAAATGTCAACTGCAAGAGCCACCCGCCTTCACTTTGCACTTTGTTTTGTCTGTTTAACTTTTGTTCATAGCTGGCTGACTTTTGCTGATTGTGCAGAGGTTGCAAACTGGTGGCAGAAAATCCACTCGAAGTTCCTGAAAAAACTCCATCTCTCTGTCTCTTTTTTTTTTCGCTCAGCACTTGCAATTTGTTATTTTTGCTAGTTTTAAAAATTAAAAAATTCTCCAAGTGAGTGGGGGGGGGACTGCAGATAATACTGAAATGGAAACATTATATTTTATGCAAGTGCAACAGTGCGAATGCGTGTTAAAAATTGTTGTACTCCACTGTTGCAAAGTCATTTGCAGTTATGAAAGAACGTGTAAATACATGGAATATAAAAATGGTATTCACAGCATAAAGTACTTGAGGACTTTGGTCTTTAAAATTTATTTTAAATATATTTTAAAATACGGGGCTTAAACGACAAAGTGATAGTATGAATTTTGTAAATATTTTACAACTTAGACCTTTAAGAAACAGCTATTTATATATAACTTGTATACTGAAAAAAGAAAAATCAATGCATAAAATACAACTTACTCAAGATTTTCTCACAACTTCAACTTTCAATTCAAAACTCACTGCAATTCCTTTTCAAACCAAACAAAAAACACCTTAGAGACAGACTTAGATTTACGGAAAAATAAACCCACACATACGAGCTAATGTATAAAACAGCAGTACGAATAAAATTGCATTACACACACGATTACAAGGACGAACACGTATGTACATATATAAATCCCCGGAACATATTGGCAGCTACTGTCAGTCAATCTCCATTAAGTCCATCCCCAACACCTTATTGAATTTTATTGTAAATTGGAAAGAAAAAATTGCACCGACTGCAAAAGGCCAGATGGAAACAAGGGAAAACCCAGGAAAACCGGAAAACCGGAAAACGAGTAGCAAATGTCAGACAAAGATTTGAGAAAAAACACAAAATGAAAAAGAAAATAAAACGGCAGGAGATAGAGATGGTAAACATAAATGGAGGGCGAAGCTTTCAATTTATTTGCATAAACGGCCAAACGATTATGTAATTTGTATTTGCCACATAAATTATCACACAGTGGAATAGTTTTCAAATATGCACCCCAGACAGAATGGAATGAAGTGGTTTGGGGACTTGCGAAGAGGGGTCAGCTTATTAAAAGCGAATGAAACGGGCAACTATCAATAAATTACGAACTGGGGCGTGGCAACTGGAGTGTCCCAAAACCACAAAAAGCACAAACATTAGAGTGGTTTTGAGTGCCCTTCGCCAGAGAACTCGACTGGTTCAAATGAACGTGGATTACTTGAATTATTTATAATTTTTTATATATTTTTAAGTTGTCAAAGAGTTTTAAATATTGAAAAATTAACGATTCAAACAATGTTTAAATAAAACTTTAAGAATTTGGAAGTATAATTTCCAAATAAATGATGATAAAATATTCTATATCATAATGTCAAGTATTTAAAGTAAAGTACTTAATTAGTTAGTATTAGTATTTTTAAAATAAAGTGTTTTAATTGGAAAATTGTGCACTTACCATTGCCCGCAAAGACTTGAAAAAAACTTACCTTGAATTGTGTAAGTAAAACTCCAAGCCCGCTTGATTAGTCAATCACAAATAAGAAAAATCTGTACAATCAATTTATTTACTATTTATTTATATTTACAAAAAAAATTATAATTAAATGAATACAATGATGATGCAAATTATTTCCAATCGGGTACTTATCTAAATTTAGAGTTACGTTTACAAGCATTATTAATACATGCAACCAGTATCTTGAATAATATATTTATGTCATTATAAATATATTGATTATCAATAGCTGCAATGTATACCTTTAGAATTATTGCCCATGACTTGCAATACATAAACTTCCCTTGGATTGCTATATAACTAATAATATTAACTTCAATCCGCTGAGTTAATCAATGACGAACCGAACTAGATCCTCTGGAGGGCACATCTCCGTTCGAAATGCCTTTTGACAAATTTTTGGGGGTCTGGCTATGTGGGACATGCTAATGTTAGGTGCTTGCCAGGGACCGCAAATTTTATGCACGTTATAAATCACGGCCAAACAACGACGACAGCGTCGAGGACGACTGCAAAACTGTTCACATTAATTGTTGCAACGTCATTTTCGGGCCTATTGTGTTTTTGGCCCGCACCACGAACCCTGGCAAACCTACCCAAAGCCCAAACCACGAGGCGAAAAGCAAAACCAACCCAACAAAAAACCCCACCACATTCGCTGGAGCAGGCCAATAAAAGGCACTTTCTGTGTGTGCTCCAGACGCCTTTGTGTCACGTGGCAATTTTCGCTAAAGGAATTCCAACAATGTAGACGTTTCTCCTACAGCAAATGATCACGATAAAAAAAAAGAAAAAAACAATGTAGAAAGTCCAACCAACTACTTTTTTTTGTTATTTAAACATAGGCAAATGGCTGGAGTCCATAAAAAAATGCTGTTTAGTAGCTGGGATTTGTGGATTTGTCAAAGGCCCTACGACGACGAAGCGCGGATACTGAAAATCTACCACGTTTTTTCTGCCCATTTTCATAATTTCACATTTGAGACACAAAAGGCCAAAGGAAATAACATCGAGTTTTTGTTGTCAGCAAAGGAATGTCTAAGTTTATTGAACAGATGGGAGTTCCCCTTGACAAACTGCAAAATGGAACTTAAAGTCTTATTATTTCCTCAATAAAATATATACAGGAAAAGATAAAAAAAAAGTCAATTTAAATGAGTATTTTTTTTAAATTAGAATTTAAATATATTTTGAAATAAAACGTATGTTTCATATTTTTTGATTCTGAGAACCAAATTTCTATATTAATTGTTTTCTTGATTAGGAATCTTAGTTTAGGACTAAAAATAAAAACTTATAAAAAATGAAATATAAGGCCTAATATTATATTTATTCAGATAAGACATAATTTTAAATTGATCGAAATAAAAGGAAAAAGAAGGAATGTACTTAGACAGGATTATTTTCTTGACTATAATTTAAGTAAGCATCTTAAAATATTAAAATTTAGAAGTTATTATATGGTTTTAGTTGAAAAAGATATGTAAATAGTTGTGTTTTCGATATACAAATTTCCGCGATGAAATGCTAGCCTATTCTTAACGCTGTCTTTTACAACCACGAATATGTCCATATTTACATACGAAATTCTATATGGAATGGCAGCCACTCCATCGTGAAAAGATAATCCCGGCAAATACATAAACTGCAGGCAAAAACACTTGAAAGCAAAGTTATGAACGGAGACAATGAAGGACCAGTGTGGAGATGGGGCCCAAAAAAAACAGCAAAAGGGCGTCGTTAATATTTCAAAAACAGAAACACAACCGAAACGATTCGAAACGGAACGAAACGAAAACAAGGCAAAACACATAAACAGAAGCGACAAACAACAAAAGCAGAAATAGCCGTAATACTTGGACAATTGCACACGCACCCACACTTGACTTTTCCGGGTCCATTCGAAATATTAAGGCATATTTGCCGCTTGGTCAGCGAAACCGAAACCGGACGGTAAGGAAAGGTAAATGAGACAAAGCCAACCAGACGAGACAGGGTGAAAAGTCACCTTCGTGTTGCACAAAATTTATGGCCAGCAAGGACAAAGCACTGGATAATAAGCCTAGGATACTCTCAGAGTCTTATTATTCTAATGGTGGTAACCTGATATATGGACCACCTTAACATACTACATTTTATAAAATTTTACTTAAGTCTTCTTGAAAATTCATTTTTTACATTACCACCTATCGTTTGAAGCTATAAAGGTTTTTTATGGATGTGATTTTTAATTAAAAATAAAGTTATTAAGTTATTTTCTTTTATCTTATAATCATTTATTATTAAAACAATATCCAAGACAGGTACAATGCGTAATCATGGACAAAATTTTCTTCGAAAGACATTTTCGATTTAAAATAATATGTGACGTTTTTCTTAAATTAATTAATTTTTGAGGTAATCAAATTTTAAGGTATTTCCTTTTATTTTTTGGAAATTAAAATTTTTGACTAATAGCAATTTATTATTAAAACAATATTTAATGCTCCTGAAAAATGTATTACTCACTGTACTTTTTCATGCTTTTCAATAAAACCAATTGCATACATACATAAGACACCTAATTGATTCTTGTACAGTTTTACAAAGAAGACGATCTGAAAAATGGAAAGTAATACATTGTGCTAAAAAAATCATTTTCAACCAAATTCCAACTGTTAGGTTTTAAGTTAAAACTTAGTTGTAAGAGATTCGGTCGGCTATTACCCATTCAGTGCGATGCAAACTGTTGGTGCAAATGGCAATACCCTTTGGCCAGCATATATTAAAGGGGAGTTGGTACATGGGATTGAATGACACCCCCATTGCACATATTCGCCTTGCAAGTCCCAGAAAAGGGACTCCACACTGTTGTCAATTTGCGTTGTGTGTGTGAGGACAAATTAATTGTTGACAGCGCGACATCTTCGAACCTACAACCAAACTCCCAGGCTACAGGAAGTCTTGGGTTAAGTGTTTCCTGACACCAGATCCATTTATCACTGCCGACCAACAAGGTTAGAAGTTATACATGTCTTTGTGGAATATTATTTCAGATATATAATCAATATGAAAAATTAGAACCACTAATTTAAAGATAGCTTAAGTGCAAGCTAAAGCCGCATCTCTTATATATTTAAAAACAGCTTTTTTGTATTTTTGTAGCTTTGAATTGTCATGCCAAACATGCCGTTAAGCATTCTAAAGACAAGTCATTAGGTCAATCGCTCAAATTGTACGCGTCGTTGTGACTTCTTTGTATGCCTTCAACTATTGAAAAGCGCTGATAACGATTAAAACTTTTACACCCAGAGAAGAACATGGCAAATCCAAATATTTGCATTTTGCAATAACTATGATTGGTACTGATTTAGCCCGGAGGTGTGTTTTGTTTAGACCAAAGTGTGTTACTTTTTAATTTTTAATTTAAATTTTAATTTGGGTTCATAATGAAAAAAATTGAAATTGAATTGAAATGTTTTTCGTTTTTTTATGTACGATTATATTTTGAAAAACAATATTACGTTAAAACATTTTAACGTTTTATTTTTATTATTCCGTGTTTCTCTGGGTGTATATAGAGAAATTAATATAATTTTTTTTATTTAAGAAACAATATGCAAAATACAGAAATGTACAATACCATAAAAATTTTGAGAAAGTAAAAGCTTAATATAACCGCTCATTATTGATTGTATTTTCTGATCCTCTCTTTTGAACTTTTTATTCCTAACATTGATAAGAGCATTTCTGAAGCTTGCATTGTAGCCGTAAACTTGCTTTTAAACACTCCATTTTGACAGTAGCATTTAGTAAATCACTCAAGATGCACGCGTTGTCGCTCCTGACATTTGGGATCGGAATCGTATTCCTGCTGTTCCTGGGAAGCCTCGCGGGGCAAGAGTTGGGACCACCAGAGGAACCCTATTACAAAATCGCTGCTGGTCCTAATACACGAACAACACTTAACACGCCCACATCATGGAGCGATAGAGTCTTTAGATCAAACTCAACCGGACGCCCTCGCAGAAAGTATAAAGGAAAAATATATAAAAACACAAGAAGTTAACTGGATTTTATTTTTTTTTTTCTCGTAAGTTTATGAATTTGTTTGAAAGGTACAACGTGCCTTCCTGAAAACAAGGAAAAAAATACAAATACTTTTATATGTTTCAGAATCGCACCGACGGAAGAATAAAATCGAAAAACTTAATCGATTTTTGCTGCACTTATAAAGGATTTTTTTACAAAAATTTGGTTTAGAGTTTCTTTTTATTTGTCCTCCGTTTTGAAATGCTATATTTTGTATTTTAATTCAAAACCATATCGAATGAGTTTTAGTGGTTGAAAATTGTCTCTGATTCAGAGAACAACAAAACTCAAAGCAGAAAATACCACTACCAACTCACTGGATGACTAACGAATAAGGAATACATACCACTTAAGTTCCATTATTTCGTAATGTATATAACAAATGCGTATTTGATGTAAAGCCATACTGTTTATCCTTAATAATCAAAAATAAAATAATAAAATTCTACAAAATCAAAAAAGAGATAAAAGAAAATATTTGAATCTTTAATTTTACATATCTCTCTAATAAGATCTAATCTATCTATCTAAAATGTTAAATCAATGACATTTTCACATTGGGCCAGTCTAATTATTGCGATGTTTTGTGTCGTTAGTTTTATTTCAATAAATGAAACACACCCAGTTTTCAGGCAGTACCTCAAAAAGCACACTTTGGGTATTCCCAAAACGAATAAATCTCTGAATTTCTGAAATTCGGTCAGCTGTTCCATACAAATTTAAAAGTCTGAAATTTAAGCATAGTTTTTAAGGTAATACTTTTTGGTATGCCATGCCCTGTTTAAAACTTGTAAATTTTTATTTGTAACTCATTGTTTTTCACAATTACTGTTGCAACATTTTACCCTAAAATGTGACAAAAAATGCAACGAATGAGCATTTTTAAGTTTTAACAAAATACAGTTTTATTTACATATATGTTGAGAAAAATAAATCAAGGATTGACTGAACTATTAACCCATGGGACGGAACAATTTTGTGCTGCGTGTGATCTTTTATTACTAAAAGCTTTTAGCTAAGATGGGAGTATAATGCTAATAACATTGCTATGTTAAATGTTCAAAGCTTCAAAGAAAACTTATATTAAGTATTTAAATCCATATATGGACTTCAGTTTAATGTTCTACTTAGGAATTTGCATTTGTTCAATACACAATATTTGAAATACTATTTAACTTCAATACGTTATTAATTTATTTTACGTAATCTAATATTTCGAATCCTCGCTCAGTTTTGTTTGACTCATTTGTTTGTTTACTCACTAAAACGTATAAAAGAGAGCAATTTGTGTACCCCCAAATATGTTTTTAAATAAGCTGGTCAGTTGGTTTTCATCATTCAGAATGAACACTACACACTTTCTGATCGTCGCAGCTTTATTACTGCTATTCCTGGGACAATCCTCCACGATGCCGAATATCGAATCAAAAATGGACCTTACTCCTGTGAACATCACAGCAAAACACTTTGTTATTCAATATAATGATATTCCACCTACATGGCTTAACAGAGCCAGAAAATCATCGACCGGGACGACAAATCGAAGAACTCCCCGCAAACTTGCACGTAAAAATAAAACTACTTATTCAGATTATAGTGGTAATTTACTGGTTTAAGTGTTTTGTGAAATTACTAAATGCTTAAACCCATTTCGGGGAAGCCGAAAAGCTTTTCTGGCTTCAAGTTCACAAAACAGGAAATGGCCTTATCAATTGAGTGGATGACTAACTCCTTAATACCCATCATAAGTTTCAATGTTCATGCGTTCGTACAAGATGAAAAGAAATTTAAGTAAAAGAGAAACAAAAAGTACGATTGGTATATTAATAATAAATCTAAACTAACTAATATACCCTTAATATCATTATGTGTCTCAGGGAGAAGTCCCTCAGCTAGGATGAGTTGTTTTAAAAAATGCTATCTTAATCTAAGGCAGAAAGTTCCCCGCAACGATTGCCAGCCATGTGCGTATAAACTGGAACCCATGGAACCAGTTACCGAGAACCAGACCGACACCGATACCTTCAGAATTCTGGGCGTTCCCTGCATCCGCATGACACACTCAGGCTGCCTACAAATTTAAAAAATAAATGTCTTAAAATAAAATGAATTAGTAATTTATAAATTTCAATGAAGTCAAAATTAATTATACCATTTGGTTCTGAAATTCAAAATAATTTGTTTAACCTATTATGTTATATTATATATTATTTCTGTAAACAAGCGTTAATAATACAAAATAATTCAAAATAAATGTGTTTGAATTTTGAAATCTTTAAAACGAAAAATAAATAAAGTAAGGCACTGGGACCATCGCTGTTTTTTTGCAGAATTCAACTAAAGACTAAATGAAAACTTATTACAATAAAAAACTAGCCCTCTGTCTTTGAATTGCTGAGCTGGTGTATATAATATTTCGATTTACTAAAAAACTTTTTACTTCTACAGAGAGACCTAATTTATTTTCATAATTAGTTTGCATATTTTCAGGAGGCATATGTAACATATATAGTCGTGGCTCTTGACTATAGCGTTTCTTGCTTAAGTTAAAAATCTTATAGGCTATTGTATCATACTTTCGAAGTTACGATTGATGATTTGCCCTTGCGTTGCTAAAAAATATATAAATGAGAATCAAATTACATTTAACCAAAAAACGGACTTCATAATGGCAAATTTTAGTTAAATTAATTAAATTTCTACCAGTGCTTATCAAGCCCTAAATAGAACAATTAGGTTAAAAAAAAATATTTTATCCCCAAAAAAATTTTAACAAAATTCAAAAACTTTTAAAAAGAGGGTACAATTTATTAAATTCCTGTAACAAAGGCCACAAGCGACAGTCTTACCGACACCTAAAGTAGTTTAACAATTATTTGATCATATCGAAAGGATCTACTGTTTTAAGGGAAATGGAGGCACCCATCCGCCAAACGTGCGCTCCAGTTCCTCGGCAACCGCCAGACATAGGCGATCATTGTTAGGATTGGAGACCACTTGGATGCCCAAAGGCATTCCCTTCGAGTCCAGGCCCATGGGAACCTGAGTGGCCGGCAAATGGAGCACATTGAAGAGGCTAAAGTAGGCGAAGTCATTGAACTTGATCAGCGGGTAAAAGTGGTAGGGAGCTGTCCTCGGAGAACTATGAAAGAATAGTACTCCATCATCGCCGAGTAATTCCTGCACTGACTTTTTACATTTTGCCGTGGCTTCCCTTATTAGTTTCTCCTTTTCCTGCGGCAGAACACTATCAATTAGTCCATAAATTGCGGCCATGCTATAATCACTTTGTCCCAGGATTTTCTTAAAGAGCTCTATAAAGGGATTGAGCTCGGCACCGTTGCCCAATAAAAGATTAAAGTTGGCCGGTTCCTGGGTCATCCAATAGCGCCACATTTTGCCGGTCATCTTGGTATTGGGTATATCAGCATGACGCACATCTTTGCCAGTTAGGTTCTCGAAATGTTTACGTATTTTGTACATAACTCGTTCCGTTTCCTTGTTTATGGGATTGCACTGAGCCATGCCATTGGAGGATACATAGAAGTAACGCAACCGCTTCAGGTCCACCTGCTCCTCCAGCTTAAGCTTGCTTTTCAGTGAGGGTTCCATGAGCACCTGCATCATGGGCAATAAGTCGCGAGCGGAACGGCTCATGGGACCGGCACAAACCATGGTATCCTTTTCCTTACCGGTCCTGAAAGTACACCCCGACATGTTGACTGCACCGGAAGTAGGTTTGTGTCCGAAGATTCCGCAATTGAAGGCTGGTATACGTATAGAGCCACCTATATCTGTGCCCAGGCCAAAACCAGTACAACAGGCGGCTATTAGAGCAGCTTCTCCACCGGAAGATCCACCCACAGATCGTCGCAGATCGTAGGGATTGTTGGTGCCACCAATAAGCATATTTCTGGACTCGATCCACTTGTTCACCTCCGGAACATTGCTGGTGGCTATGATAATGGCGCCACTTTCCTTCATCAGGCGAACGCATTCGGCATCCGTAGACGAACGTTCCGATTTCCGGGCTAGTAGACCCAAGGTATGCAGTTTTCCAGCCACAGCGGTACTATCTTTGGTGGTGAAGGGCACTCCCAGGAAGGGCTGATGCCGGAAATCCTCATCGGTGTACTCTTTTTTGGCCAATCTCCTATCAATCTCACGTGCCTGATCCAAGGCCTCCGGAAATGGACCATCCACCACGGCATTTAGATCCCTATTCACACTCTCGATTCGTTCACAGTAGGCCTTAACTATGTCGTAACTCCGGATCTTACGTTCCCGTATCTGTTTCGCCAAGTCCACGGCGCTTTTGGTGAGCAGCAATTGTTGTTCCGTACTCGGTGGACCCGGCACCCGCTTGTGATCGCCCAGATACCATCCTAGCACAAACTCCAGGAGTCGATCGGTGACGATGTGGACCAGTGCCAACAGGGCATCCAGTACGTGGCTCCAAAACGTCATGATATAAACTGCTTTTTCTGCTGAGATTTGCACTTTGCGCAATGAAAATGCAAACTAAAACCAATGACTACTTAGGTTGCGATAAACCCAGACGTCGTTGCCACCCGATACGGTGCTCCAAAAAGCTGGCGAGAAAAGCTTTCCCAAAAAACCAGTTTCAGCACCAAGTACAGTGGAACCCACATAACTTCTCTACCCAAAAAAAAACATTTATCGCTGCAACCAAACTTTTTCATATTAATATGTTGGCAATTAAAGATGATTCAGAATAAGTTTTATTACGCTTAAACATATCACCTTTTTTGAAAATAAATTTATAAATTTGTTATATTCACATTTATATTTTAAATTTATTTCATTTTGATTAAACATTAAAAAAAAGAAATATTTTTAATTTAGCTATTATGCAACTGAGAATAATTAATTAATTAGTTTAATTTAGAAATTCTTTTATATAAAAAGGGCAATGTAGTTATAAATAGCATTTATATTATTTTATGGTATATAAAATAAGTGATAAAATGGAAATGAAATTGAGAATTGTAAATAAATACCTAAATACTTAAAGAGTTAAATTACAGAATGTTAAATAAAAATGAAACTGGATATTTGGCATTAATAAACGTTGAAATAGCTAGAGTACCATGAATATTTTCACTATTTGGTCATCATGCATGAACAGCTGAGCAGGGAGTCCCCTTAACACATTGGTCGCATCGTGCAGAGACCGCCGCGCGTTAACCCACACCATCGAACCTTCAAATATCGACCCGCAGCTGCTAGATGTTTTTTCGTCAACAAAACAAAACAGCCGCCGCTGCCGCAGAAAAAACTAAAAAGTCGGTCAAAGATCCGAAATAAATATTGCAAATTGTAAATTAAATGCATTAAAGGCGGAGGCTGCGTGCAGTGCAAAAATAAAGTTATTTGAATTTCTGCCAAGGCAGCTTGTATCGAATTTTAAACCCCAGTACGTTGACCGGTAAAACGAATTGCAGATACCCTGTAAACCCCTTCGCAGTTCGATCACCCCGATAAAAACGACATTAGTAATCAAAGTATTTGGCCCCTTATCGCTGTAGTGAATCATTATTTAATGGCTTTTTCTAATAACAAACTCTTATCTCGGAGGAAAATTTGATAATTCGATAGTGTGTGACATACGTAACAAATTAGTCAGCATGCTTTTTCTATACCCCAAAGGTATATAAATAGAAAGTTTGCAAAAAAAAAGTGCATTTACCCAGTAAATGCGAGAGTTTTTGTTGCACTCACTGCGTATTTAAAGGGAAAAACAAACATAAAATCCATTTACAACCCGTGTTAAATTGCAATTACCGTTTAAAAGGCAAAGCCAAGTGTTAAATGCTACCTGAAAAAATGTGGAGTGTGTGTTCGTTTGCCTGGGAGCTGTCACAACTGTTAATACTAAATACTAGATTTATTATTAAATTTTAATCATGTATAGTTGCCATGCCGTAGGTTTTCGCCGATTTAATTCGCTATCAGGTGCGCTTTCTTGGCACTATCTTTTGCGAATGGAGGGGGTATGTGGCTAAGCCGATTGTGTTTTTTGTCACTCTTTTATTAAAACAACACCTGGGCGGGAGGTGTTGTTGCCTCACCTGATGAGTGACGTTATCAACAGAAATGCGAACGTGTCGTGACACGAATTAATTCAATTATGTCACTTATTACCTCCACGCTTGACTAAATCGGCACAAAATTTGGCATAGGTCAGCGATTGCTATAAATGTTTTTTTTTAAGTCACCTTGACTTCTCAGACTACCAAATTAAGAAGTCCTTACGAAAATTATAAATGTTCCCTTTACAATTACATAAAAAAGCGGTGTTTAAAAGATTTCAAAATAGGTTAAAAGTAATTTAAAAAAACTTGCTTCACTTTAAAAACTGTGGAGGTTTATGCACTTAAAGTTAGCGATGAAATTTAAGAGAATTTCAGAATTAATTTTAAGTTAAGCGAGATTTCGAGATATAACGACAACATTTTGAGGGAAAACACACCTTTAACACGCAATGGCTAGAGTATTCGTCTCTCGTCGCAGGTCGTTGATTACCTCAACTGCTTCGAATCTGTCAGATAATAAACCTGCAATGCACTCACCCAAAAAATACAACTTTAAGGAACCACTCAATCTATTGTTGAAATATATAATCCTTTCCTTTTGCAATATAATATTCAAAAATGTTAAGTGCTCAAACAATTGTCATAAAACCTTTTGCTCACTGTTTTTTTTATTTTATTTTTCAATAAATACTTAAACATATTTGTTATTCAAAGTTAGAACCAGAGACTGTCGAAACAAGATTTACTGAGAAAAAGTCAACCCTACAATGTATTCCTATTATTATAATAATAAGCTGTTAAAACTTTAAACTTTTCGTATCTAGATTCTTAAAAGATTTTTAAAGATAGGGTTTTAACAAATCATTTCATAATATTTTGCTTATTTAAACCTATTGACATTTAATAAAATACATTTCTAAAAGTTTAAAAACATTGTTTTCATATGATTTTTTATAAAATTATGCTTTGAGTGCCTATTTATTTATTTATTTTTTAATTTTCATGAAATACCTACCCATATTTGTTTTTTAAAAGTCAGAACCTTTTGTTTTTTTTTTGGTAATTAATAGGTAAATATTTTTTTGCGAGTGCAAGCGATATCTCAGCAAACAGCGAGTTTATGGCAGTGTGTCTGTGTGTCATGTCTGTTAAGTGGGGCCGACTTGCTTGACAGTTGATTCGTCAAATAGCCCCGCACTCGACACTGTTTTTCTTTTATTTTTGTTCAGTTACCTCCAGAGAGATTCACGCACGTTGTTTTCCATTTTCACAGGTGAAGCACACTCAGTGCGATGGAGCGGCATCCAGGAGGTGGTGAATCCAGTGATCAGGAGGAGAAAAAAAGCCCCAGTGCTGCGGCAGATTACATGAAGAATTTCAAGAACATCATAGCACCGGGAAATGAGGCCTCCATGACCAGGGAATTCAATCCGCAGGTGGCCTACGAGTTCGAGAAATATCTCAATCCCCAGAAGCTCAAGCAGCATGTGCTCAAGAGTGACAAACTGCGATCCATTATGGAGCACTATGCCAAGGAATCGGGACAGCCCATAAAGCAGCTGGAACGTCAGGCCAGGGCGATCATCGATGAAATCGGTCTGGAGCGGAATATGGCCATCATACGATGGTGCGGCATCGCCATCACAGCGATCGGCAAAAGGATCTGCGATGGATTCTATGTCAATTCGGCCAGCATGGCCAATGTCCGCAAGGATATGGGCAAGTGCCCGGTGCTCTACCTCCCCAGTCATCGAAGCTACATGGACTTTATCCTAATGTCGTACATCTGCTACTACTACGACATTGAGATACCAGGAATTGCGGCCGGAATGGGTACGTTTGAAGCCATATTTATCTGCCATTTCTCATATAAAATGTGATTAAAAAGTACAAACAATTTAGTGAGCAATATTCTTTTTAGAGTAGATCAAAGGTTACATGCGGCTAGTAATTAGTGTTTATTCATTTATGGTTTCAGAATCTGTATTTTATTAGCATGTTTGTTACTCGTTGGTTATACAACAACCAACATTCTAGAACAGCTGTCTTAAATTAGATATAATTTAGTCAGTAAAGGATTTTACTACTATAAATAAATAAATAAAATTAAAATTTTTCTAGCTTTAATTTAGCTAAATTTAATCTAAGGTAAATTTAGCTAAATAAATAACATTTATATGTTATTATTGTAGTTTAAACGTTTTCTGCAGAATTTGCTCATATATGAAAAAATTTTGTAGATGTTTTTCATAAAAAGAAACACATATTAAAGAAATTCTAAAATTGCTGCCTGGATAAGATTTTTGAAAAGCCTATAGACTATAGTTCATATAAAGCCCATTTTCCGCATACTCTTACAACTTTTTTAGCAAAATCTTGCTAAAAATGTAGATGTTTGCTTTTCATTTAACATATTGTCATTATATTGTTATCGTTTTTTAACGCTTAAATATTTATTACTAATGACATGCTACATTTTCAATCTGTTTGCATTTCAATTAGTACGAATTAGCAAATCAAAATGTCAACTTTTCGTTGAGCTAGAGTTAGCTTGTTATTTAAAGGTGTTAAAATTCCATATTTGCTCAAGTATAGCTCAAGTATTTAATATGTATTTTCTTCATTTAAAAGTAGTTATATTATTATTATTAAAAATAAAAATAATTAAAAATGACACCATGAGCACACAGAGTAAAAAACAATTAAAAATAATAATCTAATCTAAATTATCTTGTAATGTTAATATTTCCTTAATTTGTTTCAGATCAGAATTAAGATAATCATTTAGATTAACTGCAAAATGTATTATTAATTATAATTTTTTGTTCATTCACTTTAACTGTTTCATTATATGATGAACCTTACCTTATTGAATACCTTACGTGAAATGTTTCTAATAAAAATATTTTCTTAATTTGTTTTTAGATTTCCACTCGATGTTTGGCATGGGCACCATGTTGAGAAAAACGGGTGCCTTCTTCATGCGGCGCAGCTTTTCGAATGATGAGCTCTACTGGGACATTTTCCGGGAATACATGTACGCACTGGTGGCTAATTACCACATCGGCGTGGAGTTCTTCATTGAGGGCACTCGCTCAAGGAATTTCAAAGCCCTGGTGCCCAAAATAGGACTCCTATCGATGGCTCTGCTACCGTATTTCACTGGTGAAGTGCCGGATGTGATGATTGTGCCCGTAAGTGTGGCCTACGAACGAGTTCTGGAGGAGCAATTGTTCGTTTATGAACTGCTGGGAGTGCCCAAACCCAAGGAGTCGACAAAGGGTTTCTTTAAGGCATTAAAAATCATTGACGAGCGATTTGGCAAGATGTTCCTGGATTTTGGAGAACCGATTTCGGTGAAGGAGTTCTTCGGACACGACAGTGGACAGAGGATGCAAAGAGCAGGAGTTGGTGGTCACCTGCAGAAGCTCAATCGACAGGAGGTGGAACTGGTCAAGCAGCTGGCCAATGAGATTATTTACCAACAGCAGCGTCGCATTGTGATCAGCACTTTTAACCTGTTGAGCTTGTACTACGCCAGTCAATTGTATGCCCAAAAGAATGTAAATATCGATGAGTTATCCCGTGGAGTTTTGCATCTGAAGCGTATTTTCGAGCAACTTGGAGCCCATGTTAGCACTACGCCCAGTAGCATCAAGACGGATATTATAGATGCCGTAGAGATACACTCGAATATCCTGCATTTTGTCGCAGCCAAATTGCAGTTTACGCCAATGGCAGCCAAACAATTGGCGGAAAAGATCGATGTGAGGCGCATGAAGGCCCATGCTCTTTGTCCACAAACCATGGCCGTGGCTGTACCCATGTTGGCCCTGCAGCTCTACATCAACCCCTGCATGTTTTGGCTGGCCAGGCCAGCTTACCTTCTTCTGGCAGCTCTCAAGGAGCAGAGAAATCAGGAAAATCAGCTATCAACAGCAGACACCATCTCATACGATGCCAGTTTGAGTGCGCTGCACTCGCATGTGACCACCATGGATGCACTGTTCCAGCACGAGTTCATCATTGAATCGAATCGCGAGGCGGCGGAGTTTGAAACGCATCTGCAGCTGCTCCTGGACGAACGAGTGGTGGAGGTGGAGAAGAGCGGCAGGATCAGGGTGCAAAATAATGAGTGCTCACATGTTATACTGGCCGCCCTGGCGCCATTCCTGTGCCTCTACTACCAGCTGGTGGTCACGTTAAGAAAGGTGGGTGTAGTCTTTAATTTTAGCAAAGTTATATAAAAACAAGGTGTTACCCTACTATTAGACACCAATTACTTGGCGCCATCAGCCGAGCTATAGGATCAAAACTAGAAACTAAGTGAAAACAGCGCTCTTTTAAGCACAAAGTGACGTCATAATTAAAACTTTCCTAATAACTCCTACAATTATAGTTCGATTTAGAAAATTTTTGGTATGTCAACATATACTGACTTTTTTTTTTAAATAAACTGCGCTGCATAGACATAACTTAAATCATCATTTTAGATTTCAAATCTCTGGCTGTTATAGTTTTTGAGATCTCCATGTTCATACGGATGGATTTATCCTGATCAAGTATATATACCTTATAAATTTGAGAAAGCTTTCTTTTAACTGCTAAATACTTTTCAACAAATAGAATATATATATACAAGTATATACATATATATAAAACTTCTAATTTACAATTTTCACTTGCAGATTCCCCTGGATTTTGAGTTCAGTAACAAGGATCTGCTTGTTCGCGTCCAGCAACATGTGGAGCAGCTGCTGCAGCAACCCGGAGGATCTGCCTCACATGTCCATCCATATTGCCTGGCGCTGGACAATCTCAACATAGCCATCTACGCCCTGATCCAGCGGGGCTACATCCTCAAGTGTAAGGACTCGGGACAGATGAAGATCGCTGGGACTCCAGGAAAGTGCTTGCAAGAGCTGGAACTTCAACTTCTCGAGTACTGCCAACTAATGCCATTCGCCCAATACTCGACGGCGGCCAACCAGCAGGCCCAGTTTCACATAGCCAAGTTATAACTGGCAAATGGCAAGAGGTCGACGGCGACGGAAGAATCCGATCCAAATCCCGATTCCGGATCGAGTCCCATACAGTGTAGTACAATTAACATTTCATTACCCATGCAGTTCATCCAGTTTGTTGTCGGCCTGCTCAAGAATTGTCGCATCATCTGCATTCTGTTTTTCATTGTGGTGGTGGCTCCACTCTGGCAGCTGCTCCACTGGATCATCGTTTCCTCCCATTCATTCACGTAGGTTTAGGGGTGTCTGGTTAGGTTGGATCGATTTTGTAAGTCAAAAAGAAAACATACCCTATATATCAGAGTTACCTACGAACAAATTTAAACTTTTTTTCCTATTACCTTAAAGATTTATTTATTTAAGTATTGTATATTAAGATTAGAATATGATTTTATAACCAATAGCTAAATTTGACATTCCCCATATATAGTTTTTGCAACTCGAAAAACAATTTTAAAAGGTATTAAAACAATTCATCTATTTTTCGTTTCGACTATCTTGATTTCCCCATTCTTGACATACAAAAAAAGTCGATCCATCCTAGAAAGTGCGTGTGTGTGAGTGCTAAGAGTATTTTTAAGCCTAAAAACTGATATTTTATATCCAGTTTGCCATGAAAAACAAATGAAATTCACTGAAACGCCAAAACACACAAATTGCAAGAAATCGAATTTTGATCAAAAACATTTTTGTATAGATAAAGCGGTTACTGGTAGATCCCATCGAAATATATATTCCATATATTTTTTGCCGAGGAATTCTAGAAATGTTTCCCAACAGAAAACACATGACACAAAAATGCACAATTTCAAGATTTTTAAAGCGCAGTTAGCTAAGCTCTTGCAAAGGTTTGAAAGTTTTAAAACTAGCAAGATGCATTTTAAATACTTAGTTGGGTAGTTTTTTTATTCCAAGTGAGTGATAGTGTAACTTGTAAATCCTTTTTAATTTACAATCGTTTAGAACAATGGCAACCAATTATGTAAACTATTCTTTCGATAGCGTGATGGATGATGCATTTTTGTAAATGTTTAAGGAAAAGTTTTTGTTAATTTAATCTGGTGTTAAGTTTTGTGTTTTATTTCATAATCTTAAGTTGGTTATGTTCGTCATCCGGGGATTATTTTTTAATATTCTATTGTGCCAATACAAAAGTCAGCACCTCAAACAAAATAAATAAAGGCAAGCCACAAAACTTGCCCCTAGATATATATAAAAACGGTTAAATCAGACGTAAACCCATTTGAGTTGGGGTCCGCTTATTCCTAAAGGAAACCACAGCACAAAAATGTCCGAAGAGTGCAATACAAATATTCTATATAATGATATTTTTAGATTGTTTTGTTTTTATTTTTGTGGTAGATAATTTTATATTTATACAGAATTAAAAATGAGAAATCAACACCGATCCTAACTTCACCCTCTAACAACTAAACCAAATAAAACTAAAACCAGAGCAATAATAAAAATTTAGTAGGTGCCAGTTGCGCCCAAGAAACTTGATACATCTGACTTTAAGTTCAAGAGTTTGAGGCTCACCGACAAAACTGACGTTTGAACTGGTCCAAAGTGCGTTGGCTTATGACCACATGCATCATCAGGCGCTCGGGATTTTCCTCATCCGCTATCGTTTCCACCACCGCTGCGTTTTTATATAGCCAGGCCATTTCAGGTCCACCACTGGGCACCCTCATCTGGAGTTTTCTGCGCCCAGTGGCGTTCAAAATTTGTTGCTCAATGTCGTCTAGAAGTGGTTCCAAACCAGTCTGTGCTCGGGCTGAAATATGATGCACCGGATCGGAAGAAGACTGAGCCTTTGAGGCTACCAAATCACATTTGTTGTATACATTTATAATCGGTGGCAATTGGCTGGTCGTCGAATCTCCATTAGCAACATTAAAGGCCAAAGAACGAAGTGTGGCCTCCACATGATTGCGTTGGGCGGCGTGACATGGATGTGAAAGGTCCTGGACGTGCACTATGACATCCTGCGAACAGAGAACATTAAAATAATGGAAAACTTACTAAAGCAGTTCACTTACCGCCAGCATGGCATCCTCCAAAGTAGCCACAAAGCATTCAAACAGACCCGTTGGTAAGTCAGACATAAAGCCCACGGTGTCCATGTAAATCACCTGTAGATTGCAAGGTAAACAACCCGCATGTGCTGTCACATCGAGGGTGGCAAACAGTTGATTCCTTGGCTGCAATGCATCTTCGACAGTTAGAGCCTTGATCAAAGAGGTCTTGCCAGCATTTGTGTAGCCCACCACGGCCACAATGGGATAATTTTGTTGTTTCCGTTTCTGGCGAAGCAACTGCCTTTGCCGACGCACTCGATCCAATTCCGCTCGCAATTTTCGCTCCCTGGTGCGCAGGATCTCCTTTTGCAGATCAGTCAAGGCATATCCTTGGCGTCGCGTCTGTGTGACACTGGCATCCTTGGCCTGGGCCCAAATGTAGGGAAGCTCAGCCATGGCCACCTGAAAAATATCCCATATTTAGTTTACATTACCATTAAATTATCATTTAAACCCACCTGTAACTTTGCTTCCGCACTTGTAGCGTGCAGCCTTAAAATCTGTATAACCACAGAGTAACGATCCATCACTGGCAATCGAAACTCCGCCTCCAGGAAGCGTTTCTGAGCAAAGGACAGCGTGCCCTTGCTGACAAACACACAAGTGAGCTGCCTTTCCTGCCGCAATTCGGCCACCAATTCCTTGAGTTCCACCAGCTTTCCGCTGCCAAAGAGTGTCTTCTTCTCGAGACTCTCTAGAGGAACTTTCAGAGCCCTGGCCACCTGCCAATTGGGCAGGGAGTGAATCAGCGCACTGGCCTCCTCCAGCTGATCCTCTGGCCGGACATCGATGGATGTGCTGCTCTGGCGTTTGGCTGCCCACTTCACGTAGGGTTGTAGGATGAGAACTTGCTGGGAACTGGCTATGTCTCGAGTGATTCGCATAGCTCCACCTGCCACCTCGTCGTAGGCTCTGTGAGAAAAAAAATATTAAGGTATCAATTAAAAGTTTAAGTCAATACGTTCTACAAAACGTTCTACATACAGCTACGGTTTATAATAATGTTAGTTTTTTTTTAGTTTATGGAAACAGCAATCAAATATATTTAGGGAAAGCTCGTACTGTAAACTAAATATGCTCTAAATATGTTTTAAACTTATTTAGTAATTTTTTATACATACCGATCATCAAGGAACCTCATATCCGCCTGGTTTCCACTGGATGCCCGCTCCTCGTGCTCCAAGTCCTCATTATCCTCGCTCCTTTGACCAGCCTGCATTTGGGCTTCAAAGAAGCTTTTCCTGTTGCGAATACCCTTGACTCCTTGATGTTGTGTGTATTTCCATCGTTCGGGTATCCTTACAACCGGGCGGAGCGGAAGACTCCTGGCCAACCGACCAAATAACCGTAGACCGGACATGACTAAAGCTAATTAGGGATTAATTTGCTACAACTAAAAGGTTTTCTCGTTCAGCACGGAATGCTTATCCTCAAAAGCCATCCACGCCGCTTGACAGGACTTCGTGCGCGAAGAAGTCGTTTGATAGGATACTCCGGTGGCCACCAGAGATGAAATCAGTATGTTGTACTTGACAGGATATCGAATACGGGATTGTATGATCTTTTGGGCGAAATAAGTGCCGGAAAAACCTGTCATTTGTGTGTAATTATTATGCAATTACCGACAAAACAGAAGACTAAAACGAACCCAAACAAAATGTGGCGAGTCCTGTGAAAAGCGAGCGGGTCATGCAGTCGATGTAACCATCGAATCCTGGGTGCTTCTCGCGCTGTTGATCCTTCAAACGCTTAATATCGTTCATAATAGTCGCTTGATAAAACGTTTTACGTTATTTTTATTGGCTTGTTGCCGGCGCGCATGAAAAAACAGCTGCTAGCTAGAGGTGGGATAATTAAAAATAGTATCGGTTTGGCCAAGATGTATTTGTTATCCTATAGTGTAAAATAAATGAATCACTTTTGGCGCCACAAAGTTTTAATTTACACTAAAAAATTCGTTTTAATTTTCGAAACTCCATTTATAAAGAACACCTAAAGTTTGCGTATTATTATTTATATATAAACCAACTTGGGTTAAAATTTCTGCACAGCTTTATATAAACGTGTTAAACTAAAAATATTCCCGCCAAAAAAATTATTACAAGACAATTTTTTTTGGGAGAGGAGCTGTTACTATTATTATTGTTCTATTTATTTATTAAGTTATTATTATTGGCTTCAACCACCGACAAACGGTACTATCGATAGCCCCTTAAATCGATAGACCGCCCAAGGGCCTGGCAACCCTAGAATAGTTTGGTATACCAATTGCAATTGCGGCTTTTCGCTGAAAAATAACAATTATTTCGTCGCGAAAAGGTGTTAAACCGAGTGGGTGGTCACAATGAAGCGCCTACACAGCCAGTAGCAGGTGAAAACTAAAAAATGAACCAAACCAGTAGCCTTTTCGATTCCAAGATCTAATGGAATTTGGATAAATAATAGATGTACAAGTAGTGCCGACGCCACACACAAAAAAAAAAAGAGACAGACGCAGATTGCAAAAAAAAGCGAAGAGAGGCGGAAAGAGGAAGAGCGATAGAATAAAAGAAGAAGAAGCGAAGCGAACAACGCGCGGCAAATGCTGACAATAAAAAAAAAAACTATATAAAAAATTCATTACTTTTTGCAGGGCAAAGCAAAACCAGTAAAGCCAACAAATCGCATTTCTTGCAGATCCACATCTTTGACGTGCTGGGCGGACAAACAGCCGGTTACCCATGGGAAAGAAAAGCCCCAACACCCGACACACAGATGCCGCTACACCTTTGACCACCACAGAGGACTCCAACTTGTCATCCAAATCTGGAAGTGAACCTGTATCTGTATCTGAATCAGAATCCTCAAACCCAAAAACAAAATCGAAGCAGTCCAGATCACACAAAGATGTCAAGGCATCCAGGAAGTCATCTAGCAGCTCCAGTGATTCCGAGCAGGCAGTAGCAGCAGCCGAGGCAGCAGGAAATAGTTCAACAAACGGGGATCACGAGGAGGAGGAGCCCGTCTGCAAGATACGCATTGTGCCACTGGAGAAGCTGCTGGCCAGTCCCAAAGTCAAAGAGAGGCCTTCCCGGCGTAGTTTCAACAAGAGTATTACCACCATCGATTCCAGCGACAGCGAGGAGCCTCTAAAAAGGAGCACATCTGACCTGCCGCCAAGGAGAAGCCGCACCCAGAACGCTTCTATAATCGAACTGAGCGACAGCGAGGACGATAACGACGACGAGAATCTACTAGTGCCGTTGGAGACCAGGTCGTCTAGCAAAGCCAAGGAAGACGAAGCGGAAGGACAGGAAGAGAGAGAGAGCACCAGGAAATCTAAGAAAACTAGCAATAACCAAGAAGAGAAACAGAAAAAAGCCACCTCATCCAGCAGGGCTCCCACCAAAAACGGAACGGGCAGTCGCAGGGGTTCCCTGACCAGCGAGAGATCCTCCAAAGCCAGCTCCCCGCGAGCAGATTCACCGCCCAGGCCCAAGCGCTGTGTGGTGCGTTTGAAGCGTGTCAGTCTGCCCAAGCCAAAGCCCGCCCAAAAGTCCAAGACAATGAGCACGGACTCCGAGGAGGCGGCCACCACCTCCAAGAAGAGTAGACAGAGCAGGCGCTCCAAAAGCGAAAGCGAGGCGGACTCGGACTACGAAGTTCCAACGGCCGAGGAAGAGGACAGAAAGTCATCCGAGGCTGAGCAGGAGGAGGAAGAGGAGGATGCGGCGGAAAACAGCAGCGACAGCGAGGTGATGCCGCAGCGGAAGCGGCGCCGGAAGAAGAGCGACTCCGATAAGGGCTCTTCCGACTTTGAGCCAGACGAGAAGCAGAACAAGAAAAAGCGCAAGCGTATCAAGAAAACATCCAGCGCTGAAAGCGATGGTGATGGTGATGGTGACGATGACAAGCAGAAGAACAAGCGCAAGCACATACGCAAGATCATCAAGACCAAGGACTTGGATCTGACGACCAAGGAGGCGGCCAAGGAGGAGGATGATCGACGGAAGCGCATCGAGGACCGCCAAAAGCTGTACAATCGCATCTTTGTGAAGTCCGAGAGCGTGGAGATTAACGAACTGGTGCTAGACTTCGATGAGGATTCCAAAAAGGCCCTGCTGCAGGTGGACAAGGGTCTGCTGAAGAAGCTAAAGCCGCATCAAGTGGCTGGGGTGAAGTTCATGTGGGACGCCTGCTTTGAGACGCTCAAGGAGTGCGTGGAGAAGCCCGGCTCCGGCTGCATTCTGGCCCATTGCATGGGTCTGGGCAAGACCCTTCAAGTGGTCACCCTCTCCCACACGCTGCTGATCAACACAAGACGCACAAGTGTGGAGCGCGTCCTGGTAATCTCACCCCTCAGTACGGTGAACAACTGGGCGCGGGAATTCACCACCTGGATGAAGTTCGCCAATCGCAACGACATCGAGGTGTACGACATCTCGCGCTACAAGGACAAGCCCACGCGGATCTTCAAGCTCAACGAATGGTTTAACGAGGGCGGCGTCTGCATCCTCGGCTACGACATGTACCGCATCCTGGCCAACGAAAAGGCCAAAGGGCTGCGCAAGAAGCAGCGCGAGCAACTCATGCAGGCCCTGGTCGACCCCGGCCCGGATCTGGTCGTCTGCGATGAGGGACATCTGCTCAAGAACGAGAAGACCTCCATCAGCAAGGCAGTCACACGAATGCGCACCAAACGCCGAATCGTCCTCACCGGCACACCACTTCAAAATAATCTCAGAGAATGTAAGTTTGCCGCCCTTTCAAAGACAAATTTAAGGACTTTATTAACGTATATATATATATTAATTATTTCGTAGATTACTGCATGATTCAGTTTGTTAAGCCCAATCTGCTGGGTACGTACAAGGAGTATATGAATCGCTTCGTTAACCCCATCACCAATGGTCAGTACACGGACTCCACGGAGCGGGATCTGCGTCTGATGAAACACCGGTCGCACATTCTGCACAAGCTGCTCGAGGGCTGCATCCAGCGGCGCGACTACTCGGTACTGGCACCTTATCTGCCGCCCAAGCACGAGTACGTTGTGTACACCACACTGTCGGAGCTGCAGCAGAAGCTATATAGCTACTACATGACCACGCATCGGGAGCAGAGCGGTTCGGATGTTTGCGGCAAGGGGGCGCGACTGTTCCAGGACTTTCAGGACCTGCGGCGCATCTGGACGCATCCCATGAACCTGCGCGTTAACAGTGACAACGTGATTGCCAAACGGCTACTCAGCAATGACGATTCCGACATTGAGGGCTTCATCTGCGACGAAACTGACGAGGAGGAGGCTGCTTCCAACTCATCGGACAGCTGCGAGTCCTTTAAATCGGACGCCAGTATGTCGGGATTGGCAGCCAGTTCGGGAAAGCAGAAAAAGCGCAAGACACGTAATGGAACGGCTGCTGCTGCCGGTGGCGATAGTGATTCCGATCTGGAGTTGCTGGGCGGATTGAGTAGTGGACCCAGTGTCCAGAAGGATGACCCCTCGGAATGGTGGAAGCCCTTCGTCGAGGAGCGAGAGTTGAATAACGTGCACCATTCCCCAAAGCTGTTGATCCTGTTGCGGCTTCTCCAACAGTGCGAGGCCATTGGTGACAAGCTGCTCGTCTTCTCGCAGTCCTTGCAATCGTTGGACGTCATCGAGCACTTCCTCTCGCTGGTGGACAGCAACACCAAGAACTACGAGTTTGAAGGTGAGTTTATTCAGGGGATATTAAAGGTTCAAGTAGTTACATTTTGTTTGTACATTCTTCATACAATTTTCTTTATTACAAGTTCATATTAATACAAAATTTTAAAAAAACATTTTAAAGGATCAAATTAGATGAATTTTTGACATCAAAAATAGTTTACTTTAGAATAACAAAAATATTCGAAACAAATTATTGAGAAATTATACAATATATCATCATTTTCATATCATAACAGTTAAAAAATAGGAACTAGATAAATTTAAATTTAAATTAATGTAATTGATTTACTTTTTACATCGATTAACCATTTTATGTTTATGGAAGGTAACTTATAATAAGTTCATTTACTTCATCTGCAATTCATCATTATATTTGATAAATCAATACTAAGTTTGGCTTGTTTACCAGGTGATGTGGGCGACTTCAAGGGCTGCTGGACGAACGGCAAGGACTACTTCCGATTGGACGGCAGCTGCAGCGTGGAGCAGCGCGAGGCGATGTGCAAGCAGTTCAACAACGTGACTAACCTGCGAGCCCGCCTATTTCTCATTTCCACGCGGGCCGGCGGCCTGGGCATCAATCTGGTGGCGGCCAATCGTGTGGTGATCTTTGATGTCTCGTGGAATCCGTCGCACGACACCCAGAGCATATTCCGGGTGTATCGCTTTGGGCAGATTAAGCCGTGCTACATTTACCGCCTGATTGCCATGGGCACCATGGAGCAGAAGGTTTACGAGCGCCAAGTGGCGAAGCAGGCTACGGCCAAGCGGGTGATCGATGAGCAGCAAATCTCGCGCCACTACAACCAGACGGACCTAATGGAGTTGTACTCGTATGAGCTTAAGCCCAGCTCCGAGCGAGAGATGCCCATTCTGCCCAAGGATCGACTGTTTGCCGAGATACTCACCGAGCACGACAAGCTGATCTTCAAGTATCACGAGCACGATTCGCTGCTGGAGCAGGAGGAGCACGAGAATCTGACGGAGGAGGAGCGGAAATCGGCCTGGGCCGAGTACGAGGCGGAGAAGACGCGAACGGTACAGGCATCGCAGTACATGAGCTACGATCGGAATGCTTTTGGCAACCAGGTGATGGGCCAGTTTGGCAATGCCTCCGGCAGTGTGACCTCCAACAAGATCTTCGGCTTCCGGTCGGACATACTGCTGCAGCTGCTGAACATGAAGATATCGAAGGACCATCAGGAGCTTAACCAGAATCAGGTTATCCAGCTGGTGCCCACCTATCTGCAGCAGCTGTACAATGAGATGAACAACGGCGATCCGACCATGTACAAGGATCTCCTTAGCCTGCACTCAAACATTGTCCATCCCAGCGGGATGTACATGAATCCGCTGCTCTACGCCAACCAGCACCCGAATGCGGCTGGCTACAATCAGGGCACCGGTGGTCCGCCGGGAGCAGCTGGATCGGCGGCCAATGCGCTGCCAAGTGCCACACCTGCTCCGGGCTTCGAACCGGACAAGGTGTACGAGATCGACTAAGAATATATACCCGAATCGAAACGGAAACCGAAACCGAAACTGAACCCAACCCGAATTGTGGGTTACACTCTTTAATTTAATCGTAGGTAATTCGTCGTCGTCGACCTTGTCGATATTTCCTTTTGGACTAAAGATACAAATGTGGTTTATCCTATCTAATTACCATTTACCAATCTACCCATAACCGCGAGTGCATAAGATTATACTTTCTATCAATTCATTTAAGTTCAAAACTGTCCTAATTCATGTGTAGACTTTAAATTAGATACAAGCTATAAAACAAACAAAAAATACAGCGTATGATTTAAACACATATTTTACACAATATAGACCATGGCTATATACGAGTATATACATAGTGCTAATCCGGCTAGGAGACGCAGGAAGAAAGTTATTTAACACGCAACAAGATAACAAAAATAAATGGCACAGATATTATGAATAAATGCGTAACACATTTTTCTCCTCCACTTGAATGTTTGCAGACGTGGGGGCGGTGTCGGATTTGGTATCACATATTTGTGAATGTTTATTTCACTACACGAGATACAGGTAGACTAAGGGATCTATAAAAAATTACATGCTAAAAGAATAGGCTGCCCGATCATCATTTTGGCGGCAGTTTGCCCATCATCCGGAGTTGCTGCATTTGCTGGGCCTGCAGCATGTGCTGTGGACTGGGTTGCATGGGTCCGCCCGGCTGCATGGCACCCGGTGGCATTCCGGGCATCATTCCCGGCCGTGGGGGTGCTCCGCCCATGCCGGCCATTCCGCCGCCCACGCCCCCGGGGCCCTGAAGCATCCCGACTCCGCCAATTGGTGGCGTGGGACGACTGTGGACACCTTGTTGGATGTCCGAGAGACAGGCCTTCCACTCCTCCAGCCGATTGTAGTGCTTCTGCAGCAGCGCCTCCTTGCGCTGGATCTCGATGCTCAGGTCCTGGTTCTCGTCCTTGATCAGCATGTAGGGCTTCAGCGTGGAGACGAGGAAGCGCTTCTGCAGAAAGAACGCCTCCATTTGGCGGGCCACGTCTATGAACCGATTGGTAGTCTTCTGCACCTCCAGCTCGATCTCCTCCTTGCTGGTCCCCGTATTCGGCTCCTGTTTGGTCAGCGTCAGCAGGCACGACTGGAAGGCCTCCTCGAACTCGTCCATCAGATTCCCGCCGCCGGGCTCGTTGCTGGCCATGAGTCCGTTATTGTTTAAACGATTAATCAACAATTAACAATTTAGCCGGTCCAGCGAAATCAACAAAAACGCAGAGCAACAGAGTAATCGCAGCAGGGTTGTCACGTCCTGCAAGTTTGATGACAATCGGAAACCGTTTATCGATAGCTTGCAAACAAATAGAACAAAATCGAAAAGTGAACATTTTAATTACTTTTAAAAATTGTAATTATATTTATAGTAAGCAATATGAAAACTTATTTTTAGAGCCTTGTAACATTTCAATATATGCTTATATGGGGTACTCCGGGGATTGTTTTGATAGATATCGATAATAAAGATTGACAAGATAAAATCGATAAGAAATATTACCGCTGCCAGCTGTTTATGTAAACAAAAAGATTCTTAAACCAAATGCTGACGGATTTTTAAGGAGATGACCGCCCGAATCATCCAGCGCACTCTACACACGGCTCGCTCCTGTCTCCTGGCCAGAGTTCCACGCCGCGCTAATCCCGGCCTGGGTTACCAACTGCAGCAGCTGCAGGAGCACCCGGCCAAACCCAGCGAGGCTAGCGAGGATTACGCCGATCTGGAGTCGGATTTCATGGGCGTGCAAAAGAGCCATCGGCAGTACGAAAAGGAGCAATTGCAGCAGCGTGATCGCATCCGTCAGTTTATGATTAAGCACAAGTATTTCCGCGATGCCAAGTTGCCCAATCTTTTGCTCCATGCGGAAAAGGAGCAGATGCGTCTGCTCCACGAACGTGATTCCGAGGAGTGGAGTGTGGAACGCCTGGCGGAGAGTTTTCCCGCCACTCCCGAAATTGTGCAGAAAATTCTGCGGGCCAAGTGGAGACCAAGAACTGTGCAACGGATACGTTCTCATGATGAAACAGTCATCCAAAATTGGCAGTTACTTAGGACAGGAAAAGGTGACTTCAATCTACCGCCTGCGCTGCTTCAGCATCTCCAGAAATTTGCCGAGCGCCGGCGACAGGATCTGCGGGAATTAAAGGCACAGGATTGGCCCACAAAATCACAATTACCAACTCCACAAGGCAACGAATTCCGCCAGCTACTGGGCAATAGTAACTCAAATCCGGAGATGGAGGTGCCTCCACCACCACAACTCCCCTCTGGCTATGAGCCACCTCCCTCTTCAGCCGCCGAAGATGAAACCTATCTACTGGATAAAATCCGGATCAAAAAAAAGATGAGACTGCAGGAACTCAAGCAATCGCAGCTAGTGGAATCCGTACCAAAGGTTCCGGAGCATCTGCAGCGACCTCTCGAGAATCCCAGTGGCACTGGATTCCTGCCCAGCTTTGTGCCCAAATTCGCCAGCAGTGAGATTGTGATCAGTGCTGCGGATCAGCGAAAGTACGAGATAACCCAGGTGAAAACCCGCATTGTTATTCCCCGGAAACTGCGGCGCCAGGGAGCCACCTACCGCGTGGAGGATGCCTACTACGATGACGATGGTGAGCTGCTCTACCGCGTGCCTGGAATGACCGGAACTGGAGGTGGTCAATAATATAATAATACACCTTTACACTTTTGTTTAACAAATAAAAAGTTGTGTTAATAATTTAAATATGCTTGTGAAGCTTTTTCTGTTCCATAACGTAAATGTTTTTACGGGTTTTTTAAATATACCTAAACTTAAATGATTATAAATAGTTCAAATTGATATTACAATTTAATGTGATAGGTTGGCCTTTGAAACCTAAGAAAATATTAGTATTATCCGTCATACAGTTTCAAAGTTCATTAATCAAGATTTTAACTTTATTTCTAAAAGGTTAACGGATAAATTCAAGGTACCCTTATTTAAATGATTTTAAAAGGTCTCAAATTGATTCGAAAACGAAGACATATGTATACATATACACGCCTTTACAACGTTGTCGCTCATCATTTTCCATTCCAGAAAACCACCACTTCTAAGTCCATATATTTTTGTTATTCGTCATAAAATTTCAAAATTTATTAATCACAAGCTCTTACATTTTTGTTTTATATAAAAATATATAAAACATTTTGCGCACAGATTCGTAGTTGAGTCATGGTCAGTGAGTAAAGGCGGTGGCTATCAGATCGCTGCCCGCCATTAGAGAGTCGGATGCCACGGTTATTTGGGCGCCCGTGAGCTTGGCCACAAAATCGCAGGCGGCAATTTCCGCATAGCTGGCACCGCCCACAACAAAAACAAAGAGATTCCTCAGGCGTAATGGAAAGACATCCTGATCGGCGATTCCATTTACCTTAATTTGGTTAGCATAGGACTTGGGCGTGATTTTTCCACCATCCATATGCAGATGCAAACCCTCAATCATGGCCAGCTTCGAGGATAACTCCTCGGCATTATTGGTTTTCAATAGAATCGAACAGAGTTGTGCCACCAAAGGTATGTAGGTGCCATTAAAGACATAACTCGGACAGGATTGCATGCCAGCAGCTTGGTTTTTTGTGGACAAACCGGCACCATCCTGACCATCTCCGCAGGAAGTAAGAAGCTTTAGCCGATTGGCGTTGGCCTGAAATTCGGTTTGCTGGAACTTGGGCAGCGGTAGTTGGGAAAGCAACTTCGTTGCTGGCACCTTCTTCTCGGCCACAAGTGGTGGTAGCAGTGCCGCCTGCGACAACTGCTGGAAAACACCCAAGTTCTGGTGGCCAAACAGATTGCAATAGTTTCTCGCAAAGATCTGCAGCTCCTCGGGAGCCACACCGGCACAATGATGCAAAAGGCACATCAATCGTAGGGTGTTGAATCTCTGGCCATCCGTAGTCATTAGCTCATCAATCTCGGCCAGCAATCGTTTCCTTGAAACATTGTTCAAGATGTCCTCTTCGAGGGTTTGTAATCTTCTAAAATTAACCATCATCTGGATCACTATCTCGCTGGCATTCAAGTGCCTTAGGACTTTGGTCTTAAGCTCCGTGAGTTTGGGCAACTTCCTGGCCACATAGTCGTGCATCTCCTCCAATTGCATGTCATTTAGTTTCTGTAGCTCCAAACCCAAGGCTTTGACTTGTGCATGAATCAAACTGCTGACCTGGGCAAAACGCTTGTAGCGATTATCCCCGTAAATCTCGTCTGCGGTGGAGTTAAGTCGAATGCAGCAGGGTTTACTGGTTGGATTTGGGCCAACTTTCGGTTTCTTTCCCTGCAACAACTCCAATCGTTGGCTGCTGATCTTGTTCTTGAGATTATCCACCACAATCTCGCCGGAACGCTGGTCGAAGACCTCCAAAAGTAGACCCGCATAAATGGCGGGAGTTAGCAAACTGGCCGGGTAATCCTTGTCCCGATCGATGATCAGCCAGCCGCCGTATTCTGGAGGATTCGTGGCTTCTGGCAGCTTGCCCAGTGCCCTTAGAATTTGAATTAGCTGCGCCGAGTGGTGGCCAAAGGTCATGATCAAAGCAGGTTGGCCGCAAATCATCTGCAGCAATCGCAGACTTTGCGCCACCGACGGCAAAGGAGATGTGTTTCCCTGAAGGTAGAGGCTCTCGAACAGCTGCGTTTAAAAAAGATTCATTATAAAACCACTTCTCTATGCAGTTGCGATCAAAATAATATAAAAGAGCTCAAAAATATCTTTTTAGCTTAGTGGCCTATGCAAAATTTCTGAACGATAATAAATAATAATAATAAAAGTTCTTTTTAGTGGCTGCCAAACTAAAAAACTGCTATTATTTTGACCGCAATATACCATACAGCAAGTCCACTCACATTAGGCAGCTCTAGGCTTAGAACTCCTTGATCCAAATAGATGAAATCCCAGTTAAAGTGATGCAGTTGCACCAGTCCCCAAAGTCCGGATTGTTCGAGGAGAGTTTGAAAATAGGAATAGCAACAGGGCACACAAATTATGTGATACATTTTCAAGGATATGTCCGGCATTTCCTCCAAGGCCACGGATTCAAGTTGCTTGAGTAGGGTTTGAAATGTAGCCAAAACACTGCGGATCATATAGATGTGAACCTGATCTGAAGATCGCGGTAAGGACTGTGCCGCATCATGTTTGTATATCCTTTGAATGCCCTTTAGTCTGGGAAAAAAGCATATAATTGGTTAACATCCTTTAGTTACAATTAAAACCTTACTTCAACCAGGAGGCAGTGAAAACATGTTCCAGTGGCTTTATCAAAGCTGGCTCCAATATTAACTCCTTTTTTCCGGGTATGGAGCCCAGAATAGAGCAAAGCTGGCGGCGATTAACAAATGGTTAGTGTTTTTGCACTCATGACTCCTTTTTTTTTACCTTTTCCTGGGCCACCAGTTGAAATCCCTGCAACTTTTTGTCCATCTTGGCCGAACAACAGAAATCAGCTGATAAGCAGGGCTACAAAATAAAAGGTGGCAGGGTAACCAGATGGCTCACATACTGAATTCTGCATCAGCATCATGCCATTAACGCCGCAAGGATTCACATTCACTCCCAGAACTGCAGGCGGAAGGACTGGAAGCAGGACCACTCGATCGTACTTGCTTTGGGTGCTGGCGAATATATATCGATATATATCGATCTCAGCTCTTTTCCACACCACCTGTTGATGTAGAGCCGAAGGCGCGTTTTTTTAAAGTGTTTATCCCCAGTAGGCCTAGTCCACATATACTTATAACTTTATATACTTAAATTACTACTAACTTAACATACACATATAAGAAAATACAACTATAAAAAAACCTATATCTAATCCCTCGTTGGCGATAGCTCCTTGAATTCAGTCCGTTGCACAATTTTATTTTTAAAATTTTCTTTTTTTTCTCTTAAAACGCTACCAAATATATAACTACACTGCTTTAAAGCAGTTGATTCAGAATTTCTTTGTTTTTTCTTAAAACGTTGCCTACTTTTGGCCGAGGCAAAAAAAGAAAAAAGATTTTGGCTCCACCTACAGGAAAATTCAGAAACTTATAATTCCCTCCAGTTTCGCTAACGAGTACAAGAACCATACCTATTTAGTATTTAGCACGGACATGTACCACAATAAACAAACACATGTGGTATTTAAGTTGGTATTTATTGTCAGCCGGATGGTGTTTTAATCGTTATCGGCCACGGGCACACTGAACACGACGGCAGCAACAAACCACGAATTAATTTTTACTAAATTTAAGCAAAACACGCATCGAAAATGCCCGGAAAATGGGACTAAATCAACGGGAAAAGTGAAAATGAGCGAACGCGAGTGAAATAAGTGTTCAAATATCGGCGATTTGCAAGCAATAAGAAAGAAAAAAGAGAGGAGCAAAAAGAAGAAAAGTGTGTGGAAAACGCGAAAAAGGCGAGAACAAAGAGGCGAAAAGCCAGGAAATTGCGTGGAAAACCCAAAGGAGCGAAGGTAAATGTGGAAAATGCCTGGTGAAAATGCAACGTTTGCAGCTGGAATTTGCGTATCTTTCAGTCCAAAAAGAAAATGCAATACTTCATGCAAACTGTGTGCGAGTGCGTGCGTTTGTGTGTGTTTCGAGTGTGCTGGTGTGTATTTCCAATTGCCTGTGTGGAAAAGTGAGGAAAACTGCACGGAAAAACGCACTAAAAGCAATCAAAAATGTGCGGAAAAGTGCCTGAAAACGAAATGCGAAATACACACACAAATGCAACAGGCTGTATTTACATATTTCGCTCTCGCTCTCTCGTAGAATATATGTATGTGTGTGCGTGTATTTGTGTGGGGGAGAGCGAAGGAAAGAAAGAGAAAGAGCGAGAGGTTGCTACACAAATCGGATTAAATTCTTCTATCTTCCCTCCCTTTCCCCCATGGTGTAGCTGTGTTGTTGAAAAACTATTAATCTCAAATAATATTTAACTTAATTCCAGTGTAAATTGAATTTCCTTTCGTATTTTTTGTTATGTTTCCATCGACTTTAGGCAAGGTCACTTAATGCTTTTCCAGGTTTTGATTTAACATTTTGCCAACTGAAATAGCATCTAATTGGCGTTATAGTTCAAGTATTATAAAACATCAACAAGAAAGCAATATTTAACGTTAAAAACCTTAAGCGCGACAATTACAATAGCAATAACAACCATAATAATAATAGTAATTGCGGGATTACAAAAAAAAACAATGCTTAAACAGAGCAATCGTCGCCTACAGTAAAAACCCGCATATACAAACTACAGTGTGAACCTTTGTTTTCAATGTTGTATATTAGCTGCAATGAAAATAAAATAATAAATTAGAAAACAAATATATAAATAATTAAATATATTTTTAAAAATTAAAATCTCCTTTTAACGTTATTTTAAACTCCCGTGCAAATTTTAAGCAATTATTAATTGAATTACATTAAATCACATCAAAGTATATCTTCGTTTGGCTATTATATTAAAATCAGGGTTCTGCAATTTTGTATGGCATATATGTAGGTATTGTACCTTTTTAATTCTGATTAAAAAACATGTGAAACGGATTTTTTATTTATTCCTTTTGTTACTTAAGTCCGAGTTTTGCACTGGTTACTATAGGGCAGTCCCCACTGTAACTGAGAAACTGCAAGATAATGTATATGTGACAATATACGTGGTGTTGATGCAACCGTGGGCAGCAGCTGCCTCCGATTTACATATGAAATCAAAGCACACAAACCGATATGAGGAAAAAACCACGAGAGCAGCAGTGTAAATGTAAATACGAAAGATGCAAAATGTGGCACAAGTAACTGCAATGCAACCCATTGTAATTAGAGGCAGCGCCGCCACTTCAATGTCAGTGCGACAATAATTTCTCAGGCGGCCTTATATATGCTTCGCAAAAAGCACAAAGCAAGCGGGGAAGGCGAAGGGGATTTAAGACCTCCTCCTTGTTTTGTGAAGTCAGCGTGTGTCGGTATGCCATCCAAAATTCATAAAGTAAATTGCTGCTTTGCTTGTCGGTAATCTTAAAAAATGTCTGTGTCATAGGTTACTAAAACTTGTATAGTTTTTCTTGCCCAAACCTTGTTGTTTTTTAATGCTTCAAGCACTCTTTAGTTGCTAAATTGTTTTTTATTTTTTCTTCGAGTTTTAGAATGCATTTTACGTGCTTTCTTTATAAAACTGTATTCCATTTTAGTTTACCACTGGATATCAACAATCTCTAAGAAAAATTCGATATATTTTTTTTAAAAAGTTTAAAATCTCAATAAAAAGTTACAACCAAGTTTAACCAATCCAATCTCGGTAAATAAAAACCCACAAATCTCCTCCCAAAAGTGCAAAAAATGTTTGGTTTTGCTATTTCTACTACTATTGATGTTGTTGTAGTTGTTACTGCTAATGTTGTAATTGTTGTTTTTGTTGAACCAGCGAACAGCGGCGTCATCGTCAGCGACGCTGGAAATCTTTGGGATTCCATTCACATTCCAGCATGCAATTCGCAGTGGATTATGTGAATGTGTTGTTGTTGGTGCTCTGTACTCTTGGCTCTGCCGACGTCGAAGTTAACTGCGGCAGAATGGAACAGGTGAGGTTCCATTGGCGTTGATCGTGTGCATTCCACAACACACACAGATACACACACACATAAGAAGCTCAGAGAGCAGGGCAATAAATACGAATACAGTGGGCTGTTTGCTGTTGTTGTCGCTTTTAAAAGTAAATGAACGATAAAACAAGAAAGTAAGGAGGGTCAATAAGATAATTGTGGCGGTTACTCTGCAAAAGGATATTAACCAATCGAAACTAGGATCTTAGAAGTATTAAAGACACACCAGCTTTAGGTTTATTGGCTATTTACTAAGTTTGATTATTGATTTGATTGTGTAGTTTTACAGATTAAATTTTCCAGGATTTATTTAACCTACACCAAATTATTTAAATAAATAGTGGTATACTTAACAAACCATTTGTGATTTCCTTTTTTTTTTAATTTATTTTAGTTTATCCGCAGTTTTCGCAAATCTGTAAACGACTGACCAGCTAGGCTTTACTTGAATTTTTCTATAACTTAAATTTTAATTTGTTGCAACTCAATATTTTGTAATTAAATAACCTTGACTTTTGATGAATATTCTAAGTATATTTGCAAATTATTAAACGAGTATTTTAATCTGTTTTACAAACACAGCTAAAGATAGAGTTAGAAAATTTCAATTGTAAACCTATTGCTTTTTTGTACAATGATCTAATTTTTCCAAGGATTTCAAAACAATTTTTTTGGGATATCAATCTTTTTTAGTTTTCAAGGGGAATAAGAGGGTGGGGTGGGGTGTCTGCTTACTACCAGCTTCGCATGGCCTCCTCCTAAAGCCCCCCTGGAATTTTCCCCTCCCCCTCCTTGGCCACTGGACTGCAATTCAAGTCGAGCGTCGTCGACGACGAAAATGCAATTTAGCTTGTTTTTCTTGCTTGCTTCGATTCCCCTCCCCTTATCGCCCCCTTCTCCACACACATTTTGAAACACGCCTTTGTGTGTGTGAGAGTGGATGAAAAAAGGGAAAACGAAACGAAAACAGAGAGAGCGCGTAGAGTGGAGCAAAAGCAACAACAGAGCAGTTGCCACCCCGCCCCCTTTTTTTCGCCTGCTGCCTCCCCTTTTCTCCTTCTCTCTTCGCTGTGGAATGCGCATTTTTGCAATAATAATCAGCAACTAATACTATTTTTATCTTCTGCCCTGACGCGTCGCACACTTCTGCGTTTGTATGTGTACTAAATGTTTGTGTGTGTGTAGCCGAGTGTTTGCCCCCTGCAGCGTGTTTCGGCTCTCTTGCCGCCCCTTTATCCACTTCCCTTGGGCCTCCCTTTGTACGCTTCTCTTTGGTCGATCACTCTCTTTGGAGGCCCTGTAATTGCTTTGGGATTTCTGGATCTCTGGTCTTGTCCGGTCTGTTTGGTGATAACAAGATATCGAGCTTTAGAATGCGTCTATTTAATGGAAAAATAAAATTTAAAAAAATCTACATATTTGGAAATAGATAGAAATAAATCTTAATTTATCTATTTTAAAAATTTTTGATTTTTTAAACTATCAACAAAAATAAAAAATAATATCATAGTTCCCTTTCTGAATTTAACGGTCTTTGGATATCTATTATATTATAGGCAGGCTATCCTTAAAAAATTGACTGTATAATATAATAATACGCAGCTTCATGTTTATACAATGAATAATAAGAAATAAGTGTACTTTTAAGGGTTAATCTCACAGATAGATACAACTTGTATTAAGTTCTTTGCTTACACAGTGTAATTGTAGACACCTCTGTACAAGTGTCAAAATAAACACAATCTTGACAATATAAATAATACCAGTTAGTTTACGAAAGTGATAAGACGTACTACTTAGAATACATTCGAAAGCGTTACCCAACCTTTGAATTAGGTAACCAATTAAGTCTTAAATTCCGGTTAGGTAAAAGTAATAACTTTACTGAGGAATTTCTGGAAGAAACGAAAAAAAGATATTGTTTTTACAGCCCTTTATTATAAAGATAACTCTGGCATTCTCTTATCCAGGAAACCTACAATCCACATAGCCTAAGTTCAATGAGTATAATTGGCAATAATATGTCTCAATTAATGCTAAATACGAAATTCTGCCTAAGCACTGACGAAAATAAGAAATAAAAGTCATTTAGATAGCTTTAGATATTAAGCGGCGGGATGTCTTTTATGTGGAGGCACAACTTTGGACGCAATTAAACAATTAAAAATTCCAATAGCGTCGTCGTTTAATAACGCATCAAAATCAAAATAAACCCACAGCGTGGGAGTGAGATGGAGGAAGGAGCGAGAGGGAGATAGCATTGCAAGTGAATTAGTTATTTGTATTGTTAATTACTTATTGGGTACATACACACAATCACGTTTATTTGCGCAAAAATACTGGGCGGTATGCGTGGAATGTGAAAATTTCCCAACTTGGCACCAAAACAAAAATAATGCGGGAGGCTACACATAGCTACATATAGTATATCCGCCAGGGCCGATCTCTGTTGACATTCGGATTTGGCGCGTGGGGCCGAGAGATGTTTACCCACCCAAGATCTATATGCTCCCCCGGCCTGTTATCATCTATGTCTCGTGTACACAACCCCGGCAAAATTCACATTCCTTTGCAAAACGAATAGAATTAAAGTAAAGAAAACAACTTTTGTCAACAGAATAATTAAAACTCACATTTTGCCGTGCTGTTTTGTTGCTGTGCTGCCTTTTATGTTCGACTAAATTTACAGGGCAATCAAAATGTTGTTTGCAGATCAAGGCACAGAGTCATGTTTAAATGTTGACAGATGTCTATGGTTCATTATCTTTAGATATATGTATGTATGCGAGTGCTGGGAGCAGAGCGGAATGCGAACTGTTTTGTAAGCCAACATTATATATTAATTACGGAGGCATCCATATGGCAGGAATGCATCTATAAACCCATCTCGATTTTTGAAAATCATTTTTTTTAAATTAAAAATGATCTACAAAAATCTAGAAATGAAACAAAGTATTTTTTTAAGGATAGCGGGGAACCTAGTCTTATAACAGGATTCAGCTTGCCCAATATATTTTTCTATGAAATATTAAATATAGCATCAGCTGACTATATTAAATATCTCCCTTATTAACCATTGCTTTATTGATGAGTCACTTCAGAATACAAACTTTCTGTTTTCTAATCTAGGATAATTTATAATTTATAAGCTAAATATTTTTTAAATTTTAAATTACAAGCTTCATTAAACTTTTGATTTAATCACATTTAGAATCCTTAAATATTTTGTAGCCCTAGTTTGGTTCTATTTGAGAACTTTTTCGGATATCATAAAATATATATATAAAATAATATTTTCCAAATTATATTGATCCTCTGATTGTTTAACCAGGGTATTAAAAACTTCGATCAGCTAAATTAAACCCTATGTTCGTTGCGTTTCCTTCCTCATTTGCACTTGGCACAAATTCGGCGAAATTCCGTGTTTGTTTACATATCTATCTGTCGATGGCTATTTCATAGTCAGGTGCGCACGCCACTCCCTCCGCCCCCCGATCCCCTCTATATGGTGTGAACTTAATGGTTCGTCATAAAAATGGGTTTGTATTTTCGTTGCTGCTTTTTTTGGTGTGGGGTTTTTTTTTCATTTCCCCAGAATTCGAAACATGACATAAGATCATAATTTATGTGCACCCCTTCCACCTGAATTCCCCACTTTTTTTTTTGCCCTCGATCAGTTGCAGCTTGGGAAGTGTGAATCCGAAAAACACCGGCAAAAGGCGTGAATATCATGCAGAAGAAAGCATTTCCTTCGCAAGTTGCGATGGTCATTATATCATTACGAACAATGAGTGTGGATTTTCCGGCACCTCTATAAGCCCCCCGTAATTCAATGACTCACGTCGCTGGCATTCAAATGGGCCAACAACCCATCAACATGGCGAGATAGTGCTGGTTATTTGAACTTTTTGACTGGCAAAATAACCATGTTTCAGTAGAGTCAACAACGGATATTTGCTTCGCGAAGATTAAGTCACAAAAACATTTTAGAAACTAAAACAAAACCTTTTAAGAGGAGACAAGTAAAAAATGTATCAAGGGTTTTACTTATTTTTAAAAATATAAAAAATATTTTCCCCTTTTTTTGCAATAAAAATGTTGGCCTAGTTTTCTCTGTTAAAGGTTTAGTTTGGCTTTTGTTTAATATCACTTCTTATTTTAAAGTTGTATTTGTTTTTGTTTTTAATATTTAGCTCATATGATCAAGGGATTTTATAAAAAGA